AGAACATTATACAATGCGCAGTCGAAAGTACGATGCTAGGAATATCACGTGTCACACAAGTGAGGGAATGGAACCGAAACCCTGACCTGCGTCAACGATCGAAAATCAAACATGCCGTTCTATACGCCAGACTGTCAACGATAAGGCGTGGCGGTCACATGATTCACATTAACGGAAACCGATGGACAAAGCCGTTAGTGACTGGATTCGTCGGAATATCAAACGTACTGCAGGAAGACCACCGACCCGATGGCCAGAGTTCATTACGAAAAACCTAGAAGAATGGCACGATGTTCAACAAGTATTTAGAGCGCGCAGAACTCACTGGGCTAGTCTTGCACTCGACAGAGAGAAATGGGAAATTTACTCGCGCCCACTCGAGTCACCCGACAAGCAACGGGACGACATGTGATAGAGGTGGTTACGACTTGTAATTGATTGCCATTTTAATTATGGTCGGTGTAATGGACCATTGTTATTAAATGGAATATGCATGTATAAAAAATACCGAAACAGACACGGCGCAAGTTGCAAAGCACCTCTAAATGCCGACACCAACGTGTTCACATGACATAGGATTGAAACCTATAGTAAATAGTGACATACATGCCATTCACACCCATGTCATTTTCGTAGCCCATAAATCCCTCTATTTGTCAAGAAATTAATGTTTGTTATTAAAAACCCAACACGTCTGTAAAGGCTGGGAATTAGGCGTCGTTCTTTGCGGCAGACAGCGAAGAGTGCGTCGTCGCGAGAATGTTAGGTAACATTTCGTTGTGATGACAACCTCCATAATGTCTTTCATAATTCTCTAATATTCAGTAAATAATAAAGGATGAGGATAATATCTTCAGGTACATCAACCTTTTAGGGACTTGTCATGCATCTCACTCTATTCGTAATATCGTAGAGGAAGCAGAATGCATAGCTGACCTATATAATGAGTTGCATTGGCCTATCGAGTTATCAAATCAGTGTCTCATGCTCACAGACAAGGGTGGCACTAATCCGCCGACTGCGGAAGGTTGGACAGCATGATTCACCCGGTGCATAGGATAGAACCAAAGACCACACATGTATTTCATGATATTCAGCGCATGCTTTCAGCCAGCCACTGCACTATGTTCAGACGGTGTAATAAAACAGTAATAAGGTTGACTATATCTCGAAATCACAATGAACAACTTTTTATTTACCGTCCATTACTCTTTTCATACCAGAATTCTGTGTGAAATACGACCATAATGATGCCGAAATATTTGCAAAACTCAGATCCAAGCCCAGATTCGAACCAGCGATTATTCCAGGGGCCCACGTGCTACCGACTGCACCACTGTTGCCCTTGCTTTCCCTTTTTTATCTCAGCCAGTTTTTTACTCTACCGTTGCCACTAGCAATCACCCGTCAACGGGAATGACCTGGGGAGCATATGTGAGTCTTGGAAAGGGCTACCGCAGGTTCAAACCTGACCTGGGATCAGAGTTTTGCAAATATTTCAGGAACATCAAAGGAAACATTTCGAACTTCACTCTCGACTTCAGAAACGTTCCATTCGTGGAAATTTCTGACCAACATAATTCAAAAAGCAATTTTTCGCTCTAAATAGGAACTTCGCTGCAGCAGCAATGTGACAGAACTATTACCTCGACTAGGAACATGGACACTAGACCAATCACAGTGGATGAATATGCCAGAAGACTGAATGTCGACCTCTTTCCTGCACTCCCCGACATCTACAGGATTGATAAACACTTTCAATTGCATTTCAGCTTTCTTCTAATCCACCAATCTCGCTGGGAGGACATGCAGGGATGGAATTAGGTAGGATATGATGAGTTCATTTCATTCCCAGGAGTACAGAATATAGCAGAATTCATAAAGAAGTGCGATGGAGACACTTCTAAGATAACAAGAAGTATGTTGGATGCAACTCTCAACAAAATTCCTAATAAGACAATCAATGAAGACGAATTCTCGAACCTAACGAGCCGAGGGACCAATTCCCTCTGAACAACAATTTGCAGCCTACTACAACTTTTCATGGCAGGGTATTATATGGAATGCAACCGTAATGATATTGAGATATCTGCAAAACTCCGTGAACCGCATGTGTCTGCAGTAGAGAACGAACGCGCTATTATCTTTTCTAGGGGCTAACGCGTTCACCACCACACCATGTACACCCTTAGTATTCCCTTTCTCACAGCTAATTTTCTATCTACTAGTGCCATCAGCAATCACCCATCAACGGCACTGCAAATATCTCAGTATCATCGTAGCCGACCGCTGTCTTCGCACTCCTAGATACACGTGGTATTCTCAAAGAAACAATTTCAACAAAAAAACCAACATCGGCCAACAAAAACCAGATAATAAAGCTCCCGGTGTTGACTGATCCCTGAGGAATGCGCCATGCATTAGACTTCGTTAAGCACCGGTGGAGGTGACTGAATACAAATCTGGCCTTAACAACGACTCGCGGTGGCCTGCCAATGTATCGAGCCAGTTCAGCTATCTTCCCAGACAAGTCTGGCATCAATCCGCCAACTCAGGGAAAGTTGGCTTAGTTTGGAGCGCAGGGACCAATCCCATGTGCACTGTAGGGCGCCCGTTGTCTGTAGGTTAAGTACTAATAAATATAACAAATAGGTTAAGTACTAATAAGTACAATAAATGACGATTGGATACAAAATAATCTCAATCAGGAATTTGAAAATAACCGTGTTCGTGATCGCGGCCATTGCAAGTAAAATCACGACAAGTTCGTAATGTCCTTCTGTTTTCGAATCAGGCTTTGTACTCACTCTGTTTTCTTTGTATTTAATTGGTTGGTTCTGTTCCGTTTCGATTTTAGCACTGCATGGTTTGATGATATCGAAAGTGTTCGCATTTTTGAACAAAATACTCATAAAGTCGAATACGCATCAGCAGTGGGAGCGCATTCTTGGAAAACAGTTGGAGGTTTGCATTTAGAATCATATGATTACCGTTTTCTAAAATGGCAACGACTCATTTGTTACGTTCATTGTTTTTTTTAGTAATATCTTTTTAGTAAAAGAAAACAGGAGTGAAACTACCTGAGAGAAAGGTGGAACGAAGGACGCGCATGGTTTAGAAGTGAAAGCGTTTGCCTCCGGAAAGGGTAATAGCGCGTTCGTTCCCCGCAGCAGACACCAGCAGTCCGGTGTTTTGCAAATATCTCAACACTATTATAGTTGTATTCCACATAATACCCTGCCGTGGATAATTGTAGTAGGCAGTAAATAAAAAGTTGACGTTATCTTTTTAGTGTGCTGAAAGTGTTCAACAAGAGTCGTCACTTCAGTTAAAGAGGACTGGAAAGATTCACCCATACGGCGTATCAAGGTCTAGAAGGTAGATCGCTTTTTTCTACCCGTACGATATCATCCAGAATATGGTCCACGTTCTTTCAGTTGAGTAGTGCGGTAGGGTTTCGTCTCATCAATAGCTTACTATATTCGATAGTATTCGACGCGTGTAGTGCCATGGTCGGAGGCACCCTGCAGTACATGGGATCAATCCCTGCGCCCTGGCCCCACCAAACCTTCCATCCCCTCAGGATCGGCAGATTGGTACCAGGCTTGCCTGGGAGAATAGCAGCACTGGCTCCATGCATCGGTAGGCCACCACGAGTCATTGTAAAGGCCAGATATGCACTCAGTCACTTCCAACGATGCTTGATGAAGTCGAATGCATTGCGCGTCCATCAGGGATTGATCAACGCTGGGAGGTTTATACTTTGTCCTTTACTTTTCGACCAACGAATCAGAGGCGACGATAATATATTATTCAACGCGAAGGGGAGGGTAATATTTGAACGGGCCTATTTGAATGATGGGCTCAGCTAATTTGAGTGTTGGTCCAGTTAAGAAGCTTTGTTGGACAGGAAAGGCACCATAGTGCATGCACTACGTGTCTGTCTTGTTACATTCATTACAGCATTGGAGATTTTCGCATCTTTCCTTCAAAAAGAATGTCTAACTTCAACTATTACAGTGCTTGTACTTCTAGGTCTTCCCTACCAATGCTGGTGCCTCAGAATTCTATCCTTCTGTGGAAAGATCCTAGTGATTCATGCAGTGATGAAAGGTGCGTCCGTTCTGTTTAAAATTCCTCCTTATCTGAGATGTTTAGAAGTTTCTTCTTTGTTGAGAATACAAATGACTGAGTATTTCAACTCTTAATTTATTGTTTTGTTTGTAGTTGTAGTTGTATTACTTATCTCTTCCACTTTTTTTCATTGCTGTTGGTTTCGTACTACTAGTAGGTTTAACTCCTTGTTTGTTTAGATCTTTCTTTTTGTCTATGTTGTTTGACTTCCATTATAACGGGTGCTCATTACTAGTAACATTAAAAAGGCCGACTTCTGAACCATTCGAGGAAACTGCGCGAAAGGTTAGTGATGGGATCATTTTTAGCTTTCCTCTTTATACCTGCTCCTAACGATTTACCGCCTTATCGTTACTGGGAGGGGTTCCGTGTCGGGTTGCGATGTGCAGCGGGGGATTCATCCATCCAGCAGGGTCCCTTAAGCTGGGAAGGGATCCGGCGTTTCCATCAGGAAGCCTAGCTAAGAGCAAACCAATACCAGAATCTGCCACCGTATTGGTATCAAACTAGTCGCATGGTGCCAGATCTCCCTCTGATCCACGAAGGCGGCGACTAAACTAGTTGTAGTGATAACGACCTGGGGTAGACTTTGGGTAGGATGACCTCGTGATTCCATAGGACCGTAATGGCTAAATCAGCAAAACTCCAGAACATGGAGATTATGCTGGGTCCCGCACAAACAGTGAAGACAGGCCGTCCAAATTCCCAAGTAAGTGTTTATCCATACTACTGCTTTCATAAGTACTTATCTACGACCGGTTTTATAATTAACTGATAATTTGCTGTCCGTTTTCTGACGAGGTTATGTTTATGTTTTCTAGATTGAATTTAAAATTCAAAAGATGCTATCCTCCAAAAGATGCGAAATGAGTACCACAGGCGGATCAAAAGTGGATTGCTATAGTGAATCCTCTCAAGTCCCTATTACGGTCGAAGTTCCTCACTCAAAAAATGTGGAATCGTTGGTGGGTAACCGTAGGTTTCTAAGTTCTATGTAGTTACAAGGGTTTGATGATATTCTGCGATTTCTCAGACTCTTGGAGACGTTCTTGATTCTGAACAATTTTTATTTGTTGGTGGCGTTCCTTATGAAGTAATCCACGAACCAGCTGATATATCAACGGTTGCATGTGTTTTGAAACCATTAGCAGACTGTCCGGTCTATCCAGCCGTAGATTTTAGACAAGGTCTATCTCATTAAATTGATAAACTGTAAATTTTTGGGTGCCAATTGATATCGTATTTCAGGATCAAGAAAAGTGAAGCCAAAAATTCATTGGTTTATTTATAATCCTCAGTCACGCAAAATTGAAAATTCTCCTGGGAATCATAAGAAGAATGGTGTTAATGAGGAGACGTTGAAGTTGATTGACGGTAAGTCTACCTGTGAAACGTATTTTAAAAAAAGAATAGGTCTCAATTACTTGGAGAGACGGAAGTTTAGTGGTGTCCATGCTTAGAGTTCTTGATTGCTTAAAGGCCCGTCTCGTAGATTTTCTGTTTCGAATTGCGAATTTCGTTGTACTGGTGACTTCTATGTGCCATCGGTTACCGACATAGGAAAGCAATTGTTTCTAGTTGCTGATCTTGGGCCACAGGCTGTTGTTAAGTAAGTTTTACATAAATTATCTAATTAAAGGAATCCATTCGTTTTTACCACGACTACACTGTCGTTTTGTGCTATTTCATTTCCATTTACTTTTTAAACCAGTGTTTCTTAGCTGCTATGTGCCGCAAACCTGCTTTCCTCTCGTGCTTGTGAACACTTTAGTACAGCTGTTGCGAAACCGAAAGGAATAAATGAAAGATGTTACAACCACAACGTTGCTGAGATATTTGCAAAACTCTGGACCGCAGGTGTCTATGGTGGGGAACGAACGCGCTATTATCCTTTCCGGGGAGTAACGCGTTCACCAACACACCATGCGGGTCCTTTGTTTCGCACGTCTCTCAGCTATTTCTATCGATCTTTTTGCCACAGCAATCACCCGTCAGCGGGGTTGATCTGGGGAGCGCAAATCGGCATAGAACCCAGTTAAGCTATGGCTATGATTTCAACTACAGCGTTACTCCCCGGAAAGGATAATAGCGCGTTCGTTCCCCACCATAGACACCTGCGGTCCAGAGTTTTGCAAATATCTCAGCAACGTTGTGGTTGTATTTCGCTTAGTAACCTATGAAAATTATAGAAGGCAGAAAACAAAACGTTAAAAATTGAAAGATGTTAATTGAGAGAGAACCCACCCGTCGGTTGTAAGCCCTTCAGGTTCAGCTGCAGTTTTCTTGTACATTTTGAGAAATATTTTTATTATATCCTGTAACATAACATAAAATCCTATACTCTTCTTATGATTTTGCCCTGAGACCTTTTTCTATCTGTTACCAAACTGTGATCTCGTGTGTATTACTACGAAATAAATACCCATAAAGGATGCGTGTGGCCCAATGGTCGGAGACGCCCTGCAACACACTTGAGATCCCTGCATCCCTAGCCCACAAGACCTTCCTTCCTTCCGGGTTCGGCAAATTAGTACCAGACTTCTCTGGGAGGATAGCAACATTGGCTCGATAAATCGGCAGGCCACCGCAAGTCATTGTAAAGGCCAGATTTGCAGTCAATTACCTCCAAACGATGTTTAGTGAAGTCGAATGCATAGCGCATCCCTCAGGGATGGATGAATGCCGATAGCTTTATCCTTTTATTCTTTTAAATACCTAAATAGTGGATCCTGTGGCTAAAAAATGTTTTAAAATCCATATTTGAATATCTAGATGTGGCGTATCCAAGTTCCATATTGATGTTATAGACGAGCCATTGATTTTTGAGGATAATATTAAGTGGTGTCAAAAAGAAAGACCGTCGAACTGGTGGGTTTTATCCTTTCCATTTCTGTTCAGTTTCTCGAATTTTTTTCATTATTCGTTTTAGTTTTTAGCATTCGAATGGTTTCATACAATATTCTTGCGGATCTATATTTGGATCTTTCCGGTTCACAAGAGGCTTTATTTTTTCCGTATTGCCCGAAGGATTATCAAACCTATGAGTACAGATACCCACTTTTATTGAAGGAACTGTCAAGTTCGTTCAAGCTTTGTTTTGAATTGTTCCCTTTTTCATTTTGCGTTTTTATCTGTTGTAGTAATTACATTTATTTCGCAGAAAGATTTCTAATGTAAAAACTATGAACGTCATCTGCACAGGTTACGTCATGGATCTATGTTTCTTGCAAGAGGTCGACCATAGAATGCAGATGCGATACCTCAGTGTTCTTTTTGAATCAATTGGTTTAGAAATGTGTTTCACGAGAAAACAAAAGGAAGTAACTGAGGGTTCTGTAATTGCTTTCAATCGTAGGCGATTTGAGTACGTCTTGATTATTTGTTTGTAATCTGTCAAATAGATTTATTCCATATTCTTTAAGGTTCATATGTCTAATAATTTCGGTCTTCTCCCAATTTCGTGGTTTCAGACTTTTGTCCTCTGAAAGCTATTGGATAGCTTCGCTCCTAAAGGAATGCTATTGCGATGATCTCAACAAAATCCTTACCACGAGTGTTGCTTCTCTAGATATTTTCACCAGTCGGCCAACGACGCTTCAGGTCAGCTGCATAGTTGTTTCTGTTCGCAACATATCTTTCTCCTGATTGGCATGGTGGGCTCCCGGACACACCTAATCGGGCGCCGCGTGTTGCATGCACTGAACGCAAAATATTCGTTCGGTCGAAAGTCGTGGGAGTGGGAGAAAGATAGAAAGTCGGTCGTGGGAGTTACTGCGAAATATTCGATTCGCTGTAATGTGGTAATGTCTCAAGGACACACTATGTGGAAACTTAATACTGTCTTCAGCACCAGTAAACAGGAAAAAGCTTCTTTAGTACATGATATGTCAGCACCCTCATCGTTATCAGCAGTCCTCTGTGGAGCAAATAAAACCGTAAAAAGAAGACTTTTTGTAAATTACAAGTATTTTTATTCCATTTTGTTTTTTATGACATCTGCTATGCGGATCTCGCATTTGACTCGTTTTTCTCGCATTTAGAATCCACAGAGGTCTTCGAATGTTTCTCTTATTACTTCGTCTGATGCTCCAGATCGTCATCTTTTTTTATAAATGCTGTTGAATGCTGGTCGACTAGATTCTTCTTGCAGTCTGAGAAGTGAAACCTAAAATGCATTGTTGGCGGCTATAAGAACTTCAGTCCAATCATCCTCAACAGGACTGACAAGTGATTGGGTGTAGGACAATTGGTTGCATGTTGACAAGCATAGCCTTCAAAAAGACTCAAAGCAATAGATCCACACAACTAAACTGATTGAAGCACTACAAAGTACGAAAAGCCGTATTGTCTCTCTGGGACAGGAGAGGATATGGAAACTCTGGAGTTGAGCGTCCTTTTTCACTACATAATGTTGCTTAACGAGCTATACGCTCAACGCACGAATTTTGTCTCTTTTTTGCATCCTACAGCACCAACCACGTAGGATTGTTTAACTGGGCGATACCTTCATGCCAAAATTATTCAGCAATTGTATTGAGGTATGAGGACTAAATGAAGCCGAACAACACTCGGGTTTGCACCCATCTTTTCAATTCCAGTCTCCTTAATGCCATGAAGCGAGTACCTCTTACGTTGTCGAATGCTATACCGAGAATATAGTGCCGATGTATCCCAAATCTTGCAGTCAAAATATCTGATTGGGATGAGTGAAAGTTACGTGAGCCGGTTACCTGATGAATCTTAATTGAAAATGCTATACATTAATCGTTAGTAGTGGAATTTCACGGAACGTTAAGCGCATAAAAAATATACGAACGGAACTTTCTTTCGGCGACCATGAGCGAAAAATGTGATTTCAGGTCAGTTGAACGCACTGGGCAGCGTTCACATAAATACCTAGCTAGCGCATTTCAGTTCTACCATTTGCTAAGTAGACGATCCTGAACTCACATAGACACCGGGTATAACCGTGTACAATCTTCAGATACTTTCCTTTAGGTAGTAGTACTACGTGATCGAAGATCTAATGAGATCATAATCTGTGGCAACACACATCTTCATCACAATCCGAAACACGAACATTTGAAAGTTTTTCAAGCTATTGTGGCTGTACGTCAACTTCACAGGTAGCTTTCCATACATTTTGATGCTATTGGCAATGTACGATCGTGATTTTTTCTTCACAGGATTTGTCAAGATTTTTCAAATTCGAGTTCATCTGATGAAACTCGGTTGATTTTCGCTGGAGATTTCAACAGTACACCGGATGGTCCGGTCTATGAGATTCTTAGCACGGTAATTGTTTACGTCGTTGACCATGCAGTTTCGCAAATCCAATTTCTACGCACATTTCCACTTTTTTGGCGATTATTGTAAGAACCAAGTAATTTAGAAATATGTTATCTTATCAAGATTACAATAACCTTCATTATAAAGAGAAAGATAGATGTAATCACGTTTCTTTTTCTCTAGGGAATGTTGCGGAAATCGTCATCTTGCTGGGATTTGGATCCAGAGTTGATAGCTGATGATTTGATGGTAAGTTTTCTTGGTGACATTCAAGAACTGTGGTCATGGGGCAGGATATTTATCTATCATTACAGCTTCTTCCGTCAAGAAAAGGCCTAAATAACTTGACGGGCACTGGCTGTACCAACCATACGCGACATACGAATGTCTATGGAGAGGAACGAGGATTTTCGGGATGCTTAGATTACATATGGAGTGATTCGGCGATATTGCATCGTTTAGCACCACGACCGTCTTATGAATTATTGAACAAGTACGGTGCTTTACCGTCACGAATAGCACCTAGTGACCATGTTCCACTTATATGCGAAGTGAAGTTTTAGAGGATTTGACTGATAAGTACCTTAACTGAATTTTTTGTTAACACTTGAGAAATTGAGTTGTTGATAGAGTAAGGGTGTGTACAAGTTTTCTAGAATGTTATTTCAATTTCAAGCATGTTCAAAATTAATTCTGTCAAGAAATTGAAAGAGATGTGCAAGCTTCTAAAGTTTTCAGCGCTAGCTATGCGGCCATGGACATCTGGATACATTGGTTTTGTACTGGACAAATTTACCAGCTTTATTGTTCAAAACATGAACCTAAGCGGGAGAAAGCGGGTTTTACTGGCTCCTCAGGACTCCATATTAGTAATATGAGAAGGCTTGTACCTGTATTGGAAAAGGCTTTTGGGTTCTAATTGTATTATTTCAATAACAATGTCAACCAACACTAATCTTACATATGACTGGCACATCTGAACGATTCAAGGACTTTTGCTCAACTGCCCATTATTATCAGTACATTTGCTATTTAACGGTAAGGCAATCATACCAATGAGCTGCTCGGACTGTTATAGCCCACACATGTTTGCCAGTGTGATGTAAATTCACCTACTCTTTCGCCACAATGTCCTGGTTTTCTGGAGCTCAGAAATGTTTCCGCTTGTTCACGTCAGTAGTCGTATCTCGAACATCGGAGATATTAGACAGGCGGGACTTCCTCTTGCAAAACACTAGTGTCCCCAAATGCTCTGTTATTGGTAGCTGTTATGCGTGCGCTGAAAATTCTAGAAGTTCTCTATTATGTTAACAATTTCTAGATGTGAAGTTCGGACAAACTTAGGACGAAATATGTTTATGGATAATACATAAAGTTATCGATTACTGCTGTTCAAAGAGATCAAATTATTATATCTACTCTGTCTTTTGGAACCTTGTTGACGCCCTGTGCAATTGGGGTAGGGGTTATATAACTTTTCTGTGTGCCAAGTGTTGGTGAAGCACCTGTCTTTGTTGTTCATTTCTTTTCTTGACGGATGTTTTGTTCCGATCGTAGCACACTGTCATACATTATTGGAGTATAATATGACGCTCCGTCAGAAATTTTATAGATAAAATTTATTTATCACTTCAAAGTGACCTAGAATTCAGCAGCTTTAACATCAATGCCAAAACGTGTGAAACTAGTCACTATCAGAGTCACAGATGGTGTTCCAATTATTTGCTAGTTGTTCCAAAATGCGAAGGGCACGATCTTGGGCGTCGTCATCCATGCATCCGAGACACAGGTCGCTATTTCCTGGATGTCGAGCCACTACAAACAACGGATTAACTGATTACAAGACCCTTAAGCACCTAATTAATAATTGTTTGATCCAAAGAAATAACAGGCAGGTAGGGCGGCTTTATACTGCTTTACACATAATATCCGTTTCATGTGCTAATAAACCTGCTTTGTTAACCAAAAAGTATCTATAGTAATTGAATTGGTCCTTACGTCGTTCCATACTTTGCAAGGGATTATGTGCCACATTTGATTGAACTTTAACTTCTGATGACGACTTCAATCCTAAAACGAAGTGTATTAGCTGAGATATTTCATTCTGTAGTTGCACATAAAGCAGTGACCGCTATTGTCAATGAAGAGAAATATCATATTTTCAACTTTGGTGAGGTGACCTCTGAACAAAAGCATACCAGCGGGTGCAATTTTGGTGTTTTCCATAGCTTCTGTCGTTGGTTTACCGAGATTTGCATAATGTCCACTGTTACTTGAAGACATAAGACCACGAAATAGATTTACTGGATCTGCACAAAACACATCAATGCATTTTGCTGAAATGGAACTGTTTTTCGATATGGATGAGTCACCGTAAAACATTTAGTAACACTGAATTGATCTTATAGATCCGCTGTACCGAGAAGGCAGTTCTGGAAGTGAACTTACAATTCGAAGGTTTTGCTGATGGAACTGACATCGTTGGCTGAGGTGATATATTACTAACCACTTGGAAGTTCATTACTTGAGCAACTTTTCTCTCCAATTCCAATAAGGTTTCATGCTGCTTTTCCTAGAGTATGGAAGCGACAGGTTTTACAACAAGGGAGGGTACCAAAGTATAGTTTTAGCTTAAATTTGTTACAAATATGATTGTGCATAAAATCTTAAGTTTAGTACAGAGAAAATGTGAACCGACCCTCCGTAGTTCGGATGGTGTAGAGGTAGGCGTGGTTGTCATAGACGACAAATCCAAGGAGGAACTAAATACAATATATGCACATCAAACAACAGGCTAAATAGTTTCTGCCAGATAACAGTAAGAAATCCAAAACCTGCTAATCCCTATATATTAAGCACTATTAAACCTTCAATGCAAAAAATTGAAGACATATTCATGCGTTAACACAGCATGTCGAGGTAGAAATCATTTTTATAACTACATTCGTAAAGCAAATTGTCGCCAATTTTTTCTATTATGAGACATTTGAAATTTCCGGACCGCTGGCGTTTGTGGTGGGGACCGAACACGCCTTGCCCTCTCCGACATTGTGATCTATACCATAGCTTCAGCTTAACTCAGTTCACTCTGATTCGCGCTCCCCAGAGCAACCCTTGACGGGTGATTGTTGATAGCACCTATAGGTCAATAACACGACTGAGAGACAGGCGAAATGGAGGACTCGCATGGTGTGGTATTGTACGCGTTAGTCCCCGGAAAGGGTAATAGCGTCTTTCGTCGCCACTACAGACACCAGCGGTCCGGAGTTTTGCAAATATCTCAGCAAAATTATTGTTATAAAGCAATTTTTAAACCGACTGTTATTTAGCCATGATAGCAAAATCACCAACATGTCACTAAATTGTTGAGCTTACACGAGATCGATAATAAGGTTTATTCGGCTAACGTTTCGACGTCTTCATCTTCATCGGAGCCGGTGATCCGAGTTGGTGTTCAATAGTTCTTCGTCATCTGGATGTGGTGTCTTCGCAGTCGCACCGAGACGGATCTTCTTCAGTGAACCGTACGAATGAGGCGTGCTCACCCGGAAGTGCTATTTTATACAGAGCGGTTGTTGTTAATACGACTATCCGTTGATAATAATTTGTTTTTCAACGGAAAAGGCTTTGCTATTCGCTGTATGCTAGCTAATATAATACCGACTGCTGTAGGGGGGATTATTCGTTGGAAAATAAGTTATTATCAACGAATGGTCGTATCAATAGCAACGGCCCTGTATAAAAAAACACTTCCGAGTGAGCACGGCTTATTCGTACGGTGTTCACTGAAAAGGATCCGTCTCGGTGGGATTACGAAGACACCACATCGCGATGACGAACAACTGTAGAACACCGATTCGGATCACCGGCTCCGATGAAGACGAAGACGTCGAAACGTAAGCCGATAAACCTTATTATCGATCTCGTGTAAGCTCAACAATTTAAAGACATACAGCCTTAAGTTCCTAAAATGAGATTGTTCAATGCGGAATGATGCATAGCGAAATTTTACGCGAGAATTCGATAGTGGATAAACAATCGCCGGTAAGGAGATCGCTTTAAATGGTATTATAAAAGTGAACTAGCCAACAATACGTACATGAATATTCAAAAGACCGACTTTCTATGAACTTCGGCATGAATAGTTGGTATATTTATTTATACGATCCTAAAAACTGGTATTTTTGAACTGATGCGAGGTTGTTATAGGTCTTCGTTGTCATTGCTGTTGCTGTTGGTCATTGCTGTTGGTGTTGTTGGTCGATGGCTGATGTTTCAGCGATTTCGCCTTCCTCAGAGCCGTGCTGTTACGAGTGAGTACGAGTAACGGCAACAACAACAATAACGACAACGAAGACCTATAACAACCTTGCATCAGCTCAAAAAGATCTGTTTATAAGAGCATATAAATAAATACATGAAGATTGCAGCTAACATTGGGAATTACTCAACATTGAAAGCGTATTATTCCACACTAAAAGTTGACCTTATAATTGCATTACATCCGCTAAGTTGTATAACGCGATGAGACCATTTAAATTATCGTTCCATGCTCAATACCGCGCTCTCGAATGCGTGATCGGCATTAGTGCACATGCAAAGCATACATTGAAATGTACTGTCAATATATTGCCAAAAACCAGAAAGACTTTCGATTTTGAATATGAATACAAATTCTACGTACATTTTTGTACTGTCATAAAACCGACTTCTAGTTTTTCGCATTTGCTCTTCGATTTGAGTTATCTTTTTTTGTAACGTTTCGATGTCCGTGTTACCCTTAAACAATAATTATAATATGGCATATCATACGAAACAAGCGGGCCCTCAAAACAAATCCTCACAGGGTCCAACTCTTTACGACTTCCTCCGATCTTCCTTTGACAGAGTTCCATGACAAGATTGTTATAAACTGAAATGTAGCTGAAGAACTAAAGAAACAAATTTGGAACAAACAGTGTTAATTACAGTCTTCATCTTCATCGTGGTCCTCCGCAGTAACGGTAAATGAGAAACTGTCGAAATGTTGTGGCTTTTGAGAAATGACAGGAATCTGGAAAACTTTACATTGTTCTCTACCAAAAATTGTAGTGAAAAATGAAGAAGCTTACCAAAGCATCTAAAGGACTACATTCTCCCAAGTCGCTATTTTGTTGGCCTGCAAATCGCGAAATTGGGCTGGAAAAATGCTCACATGGCACATTGGGGGGTTTACCCAGCACTGAAGAGACAGGTAGTACGTTTCTTAAAGCCTGTTGACTAAATGCAAAATTCTTTGTGTCAGATGCAGCGATGTTCGCTTGAGATCGTCCAAACATTGAAACGCCAACTGATTCAGCCTTCCAAAATGATGTTGCCTCATCTTTGTCTATAACTTTTCCAAATGATGGCTTCGTCACTGAGGCAAGTCCATTAGATAGAGTGTTTTTCGAAACAGTATTCATACTATCAACTAAAGTATTGTTAGGAATAACGCCTGATGTACCAGTTTGGCTAAATGTTGAACATTCAGACGACTGGCAGCTCGTCAAACCACTCAGAGAACGATCTTCCATCTTTCCTGAAAACACGACCTGTGTTGTAGGGGTCACCGAAAGGTTGCCTGATTTCGATAATTTATCCGTTGCCGTGGGTTTCCCTTGCTGCAGTTCTGAAGACATTTTCTTGTCACCGTTGAGTTCCTGTGCTGAGGAAATACCGCTAATTTTTTTGCATAAAAGTCTTTGACGAGGATCCAGTCCCACAGGACTAGTTATGGCGCTTGCATACGATCGATCGGAAACAGTTGCACGATCGCTTTTAACTGAGAAGAACGATTCATCCTCATCACCAGTTGATAACAGTGCTGACTGAAAAAGCACAAAATAATTTTAGAAAAGGTGATAAAACAAGAATTTAACCAGTGACTGATTATCGACCGGTCACACTTGCAAAGTTCTCCATTTCAGCAAATTCTTCCCGCAACAGAACATGCAATAAGAAGCTGGAAAAAATCTACAAGCTTATAACAGAATCGACCCACAACGTCAGCACGACATGGTGTATTCGTGCAAACATCAACGAGAACTTTGTCATTTTTCGATGGTGGCGAAACAATTCCTAAATCACAAGCTAAATTTTTAAAAAACTACCGTAAAGGAAAGATGTGCTGCAGAGAGTGGAATAGTTTTCCCATTCTGAGTTAGTCCATTGAAAAAAGAATTACAGAGCTTGACAATGATTATGGACACGGGGTTGAAAAACTAATAATCATGCAACATTTCACTAACCTGATTGACTTGGCAAAGCTGGCACAGGCGAGATATGCTTCTCACAATTGACCTATAATTGGCTCTCAACCAGCAAGATAAGACAAGAACAAGGCACACCGTGAAAGATTTACAAACAAAAAGTGAGGAAAGGTCAACAAGCATGTGTACCTTCAATTCACATACTCGTTTTGATAACTGGTCTCTTTCGTGTTCTTCAAGATAGCCATCTGCCAACCATGCTTCATATACCTACAACAGAATAAATTCATAACAAGAAACGCGGTTAAAAACAATAGGTACCTTAATCAGCAATCTTTTACTCTCAACTGAATTCGCATACACGAGTTTCCTCTCCGCCTCTCCAAATTCTTTCTTAAGAAGCAATTCAGAAGCCAGGTACCTAAATATAAACATTGCAAATTACAAAAAGATATTAACCTTTTAATTTCTCCCTACAATTTTTACGACAGGGTATGATGTTAATTACAATCATAACGATGCTGAGATATTCACAAAACTTGGGCGTGTCCGTGACCCCGATTCCAAACTCCGTTGCGCAGTGTGTAATGCGCGAGCCCCGAAAGGGAAATCGTGGTTCCATCTGGCCCCATGTCCAAGTTTTGCGAACGTCTCAGCGTCTTTGTGGTTGTAAGTAGGAAAAGAAATTGGAAAAGAAAAAGTACCTGGAAACATGTTCTTCGATGCTATCAATTTCGTCTACTGTATATTCAACATCAGAATCAGTACCACCAGGAAATAGTTCGTCACATTTGCGACGACAAGAATGCACCCTAAACACCAAGTGCAAGTTATTATCATAAGTTTGGACGAAATGATATTAAACGCATTAAAGAATTGTGCTCGAAGAAGCAGAGGCCACTATTAGGACCTTTAAAGAAAAATCCCGGCTTTAAGAGTTCCCTAAAAAAAACGACAAAGGACAAATTTAGCATCACTACGAAATCGTCTACCGTGTGATAGTATCACTAATGGTTGTCGCATAAACTGTTAACCATGATTTATCACCAACGTTTGCCTCCAGCCATCGAAAGACCTGAAAAAGTCAAAAACACTCCACTGTGAATGTACAAGTGTTATGTAACATATACTATATAAAACCAACCCTAATACCACTACCCTAATCCTACTACCCTCCAAACGGTTTACCACCTCATCGTGGCTGGGAGGGGTTCCTGGGTGTCGGACTACGACGAACAGCGGGGAAACTCATATCCCAGGAAGGGTCTCCCAGGCTGAGAAGAAACCCGGTTCTTCCACCAGGAAACCCAGGCAAGAGTAAACGAATACTAGGATGTACTACTGACTTGGTATCACACCAGTCGCATGGTGGCAAATCTCAATCTGATCCACAAGAGCGGCGACCACCTGTGGCGGTCACGACCTGGGGTAGCCTTTGGCCTGGGCTGACCTTGGGACACCAAGAAACCACAATGGCTAAATCAGCAAAGCTCCGAAAAAATGGAGATTATACTGCGGTACGCAAAAACCAGTGAGGACGGGCCATCCAAGCATCCAAATATACTATATAGAAATTCGCTGTTTCCCAAATGGTGAGTGTCTTAAGAAAATAGCAGACTTCAGACTCGTTACTGACGAGTAATTTCCAGAATCAATTGCTCTTAGGACATACAGCATAGCAAAACAATAAAAAGTAGTAGTAAAAAAATTATCCATATGGTTTCATATTAATGGTACAGACGGGATATTTCTACCTCGTATAGTCTTCTTAAGCAAACCACACGATGACGTAGTCTGACAGAATCTATAACGCGTGATCGCAACAGTACCGACTTCACACTGTCAGCATCAGGAGCGCTACGAAAAAGATCAGGTAAGTGAAAGCAAGAGAATCCTTCTATCAAATCCTTTTTTGCACAATAGAAGCGTTGTACTCTACTGTGCAAAAAAAAGTGCGAAAAATATTTTCCATCCAATTAATCGAACAAGCTAAAAGAAAGACTGCTACAAATAGTACTTATTGATCAGGTGACATATAGCTTTCCAGCAATTTATTTGGTCCACTTTAATGTGAAGTCGCCCTGGAAGTGCAGCAGGATGTGACGCGGAGTCGCTCCATAATGACAAAGTGAAAAGAAAAACCTAAATAAATCCTGTCAGAACTGATTACGCATACATTTTAAACCGGATACCAAGATTAAGGCAATCTAAGATACATTTAAGCCAAACCTTGACATCAGTGCTTGTTAGAGTAGCTGAATTCAAGTCACTGCTATTACTGAAAGATTTTTGGAGCAGATTGTCGAATATGGCCACTAAAAACTCTATCTCATTATAAAAAAGTTACTACTACATTTCGAATGAAAATTTAGGTAAAACAGCAACGTGGGATGCTACAGTAGTGGATGAAGTTACAAAAAAAATACAAATACGAAAAATAAGCTAAGTGATGACTTACTCTTTTCAAATGTACTATCATGCCCAATCATCCAAACAATAGTGCGAAGAATTTCTTGTCGATGCAGAACAGGTTGTATTCCTGTGCGCAAAGAAGATCAACACTAATGGTAAGACTTCATTTTTGAGCACCTTGAGCTATTTCGAGTTAGTTAATTCGCCAGGCTTGTAAGAAAGGTGGTATTCAATACGGATCAAATCGCGTATCTCGGATTCACCAAACTAACTTATAACTTTAATTATATTAATGAGTTTGTGAGTAAATAAGTGCCATTATTCCCGTCGATTCGACCAAAAGCTGGAAATGAAATGGATGTTGCGCAGGTTATAGGGCACCTGCCTCATTCCAAGCGGTAAAGCAACAGTACAGGTAAACGGTTTCATACGGAAAGCGTTATGCTCATCACGTTTACCGAATGACGTCACAGTCATTTAATGATGAACGGGAATACAACTATTCAACAAACCACTCACTATCAAACAAGTTGCAAATCTGTTTTACAGTGATTGTGGGCCAGCACGTATGGCACTCTGTGACACCGTTTCGATATACTCCTGAATGAAGCCGCTGTATACAACCTTCAGAAGGAATGAGGGTGTCCACACAATACTCCGCTAGCTATAACAAAATCACACTCTGACAAAGATTTATTCTAAGAATATAGTTAAAGTAACTTACATCCTCACGATGCCATAGCTGAGAAATCTGATCTTCCGTAACGTTAGTGCAAGTGATTGCAGCCGCTACTTCTAAAGTACTAGCCAATTCACGAGAACATAATTTCTGCATAAGTTTTTATCGGTTTCTCATCAGATAATTGTTAAATCAACACTAACATAATTTCTAGCATAAATCATTACTACCCTCCCAACGGTTTACTGCCTCATCGTAGTTGGGAAGTGTTCCCGGGTGTCGGGCTACGATGTACAACCAGGGAATTCAACCTCTCAGCAGGGTCTCCCAAGACGAGAAGAAGTCCGGCGTTTGCATTAAGAACCCCCGCCAAAAGTAAACCAATACCAGGATTTGTCACCGTTCTGGTAACAAACGACTCACATGGTGGAAAATCCCCCGCTGATCCGAAAGGGCGACAACTGCATGTGGTGGTGACGACCTAGGGCAGACTTCGGCCTGGCTGACCTCGGGACTCCAGGGGATCACATTGGCTAAACCAGCAAAACTCCGAAGTGGAGATTACGTTGCGGCCCACACAAAAGGACGGGCCATCCGAACATCCGAGTATCCAAGTATCCAATGGTCACTACTGCATGGATTACGTGCAAATTAATAGCTTTTGAATCTAAACCTTACTCCCACACGGGACTAAGACAGTAGAGAGGAAATGAAGTACAATTAGTGTTAAGTGCACATAAACAAATACTATTTAGGAACTACTAACCAAGCAAATGCATTGCAATCCAAGCGGAAATCGTTACATCTTTTGAAGAGACCATGCAGAGATGGTGATATGCTAATGAATTCAGGATAAAGGAAACCTGGAAAATCCTAGACGGAATCACAAATGGAAATCTACATGTGAACTTGAGTAGTGAAGTATTATCGAAAAAAGAACTCTCTTCGTGAAGGTCTAAATGTCATATAAACGAAAACAAGAAAATAACATAAAATACCTGGTCATCGGAGCCCTGCTGAACATCTAATAAAGCAGCGCTGTATTTAAATAGAATTCCCATGGCTATTCCGACGTAGTCCTTTAAGACAGAAGATTTCGCCTTCTCCACCAGCAACGTTAACCTAAAAGAGGAAACTTCGGGAATCTTAACATTAGCTAGGTTCCAAAGAAAATATTTTCTTACTAGCAACACCTCACTCGATTAGGCTATTTTGGAGCGATTTAATGAGAGGCGGATCAGCTCGAAGAGCGTTTTCCATTAATGCTACTAAACAAAGAATATGCCGTAGAAGACAGTCGTCATCATGCCTGTCGATACTCTGTAAAGTTGTAAAACACTCCTGCTTAACATTTGAGTGGAGAAAGGTGAAACGAAGAACACGCATGGTGTGGTGGTGAATACGTTAGCCACCAGAAACGGCAATAGCTCGTTTGTTCCCCACCGCAAACACTTGCCATCGGGAGTTTTGCAAATATCTCATCGTCACGATTTGCGAACATACTTTGTACATTCTGTGCAGTCGATGGACCAGCGTTTCATCTCGTAGAACGTCACCGAATGGTTTCAGCTCGTCGAATGTCAACAATAACTCATCTGCCCGAAATGAATTCATCTGCAATTCTAGATGGCACTCACCTTTCTCGTCATCACAACTCATCAGAAGTATAGATATACCAATTACGTCTCCACAAGAGAGAAATGGGAAAAAATAAGAAAGCAAAAGAAAAGCGAACAGGAAGACTAAATATTTCTATATTCTATTTCACATTTTCCCTAAATTTTACGTACGACAATCCTTCTTGTGGCAAACGTGGATTGATCCATCCTAGTATCAGAAAAAGGCCATGTGTGGGGCAGTGGTTGGAGGTGCCCTACGACACACGTAGAATCGATCCCCATGCCCATGGCCCACCAAGCCTTCCATCCCTCCGGGGTCGGTAGATTGGTACCAGACTTGTCTGGGAGGTTAGCAGCACTGGCTTGATACATCGGTAGGCCACTGTGAGTCCTTGTAAAGGCCAGATATGCATTCAATCACGTCCAAACGATGCTTAATGAAGTCGAATGCATGGAATATCCTTTAGGGATTGACCAAGGCCAACAGCTTTATCCTTTTATTTTTCAATACTAGAAAATAGCACTACTATAGATGCTTAGGAACTTTTCATTTTCCTACAAAAATCGAAACTACTCGTAGAGAAATGAACGGGCATTTGATTTCTGCAAATACTAACACGTGCTGACGGCAGTAATCTGCTGCTTAGGTTCTCGACCTTACAAACACAACTGTTGTCCTAAAAAAAAAAGGCAAAACACTGGCACGACATCAGAAAAGCCCCCAATGCCGGCAATACATACGAAGCCGAGAACCTCGGCTCATTTCGGTGTTTGAAATTTCGTAAATTGTTCCCCTGCTAGCGAGCGGACACGCGTGCGTGCTATCAGTATTCCACGAAATTCAAGCTCTCGTCGATTTTGCAGGAAAACTTCGCCTTCAACTGTGTAGAGAATTGGTGAGGGATTTCGGCCTTTCTTGTGAGGTGATGATATGGAAACAGTTCTTCTTTTAGTGGATTTTTGTTTGTTCTGAATTGATTCATTACAGTGACACAAAATGGGTCTTCTCTTGATAGGAGACATTATGCATATAGTAACACACTGATTTAATAAATAAAAAGATAAAGCTCTCGGCGTTGATCAATTCATGAGGGATGCGCCACTCATTCGACTTCATTAAGCATCACTGGAGATGATAGAATGCATATCTGGCCGTTACAATAAGTCGCGGTGGTCTACTGATGTATCGAGGCAGTACTGCTATCCCCGGAGACAAGTCTGGTACCAATATGCCGACCACGGAGGGATGTAATGCTTGCTGAGCCTGAGGTGTGGGTTCGAACCCATCTCTATTCCAGAGTGCCTCTAACCACCGCTGTACACGCGCCTCTTTGTTTACATATATATGTATATGTATATATATATATATATATATGTATATCTATGCTAGATTGCAGCTTACAAATGATAGCTTTGTTTACATATATATGTATATGTATATATATATATATATATGTATATCTATGCTAGATTGCAGCTTACAAATGATAGTAAGGAGTGAGTCAATTTCTTAGTGGATTTAATTTCGGCAATTGTCACTGGTTGCAAGGTTTTACTAGGATTCTTTCACTTGTTTTAACATTTCCTTGCATCCAATATCCACGGAAGTCTTCTGATTTGGGTGTAAGTTCAGCTGCTACTTGAGGACTTGGTCTTTTTCATGAATATCATTGAATGCTGGTCGACAAGATTCATGGAATCCTCGGATAGCACTGCTAGGGCGTTCCCAGTTCTTCCCCCTTAGACAGTTACTAGTATTTGTGGATCGGAGTGGTCACTTCCCAGACAAGTCTGGTAACAGTTTCCCGACTACAGACGGATGGAGGACTTGGTTGGTCTGGCGCAGAGTCAAATCTGCACCTTTTGTGTGCTATTGAAGGGCATCTTTGATTGTGAAACCCACGCGGCTCACATCGGCTACTCCGAAAATTTTTAACTAGCTCCGCCGCTTTTATTGTGATTTCCGTCCTACAAATAGGTTTTTCTCCTCATGTATAAGAATTTTTGCTCTTCTGTTATCCTATATATGCTCTATGTTCTTCTATACACTTTCCCACATTTTTGGTGCGTGTACAACTCTTGTGTTTGATGTAGAACCTAAGCGCCATCCAGCCATACTGGGTCGGAGCATATCCCTCCTTCACATCAGAAGAAAAATAACTGTGGACAATCGACTCGGTTCAATCTGGCTCTGAGGAAGCCGAACGCGTTGAAGCGTTACCTGAATAAAGTTTTTTCCATCAATCATATGTTAGCTCATCAATGAAAAAATACATTTACAACCACAATGTTGCTGAGATATTTGCAAAACTCTGGACCGCAGGTGTCTATGGTGGGGAACGAACGCGCTATTATCCTTTCCGGGGAGTAACGCGTTCACCACCACACCATGCGGGTCCTTTGTTTCGCACGTCTCTCAGCTATTTCTATCGATCTTTTTGCCACAGCAATCACCCGTGCGAAACAAAGGACCCGCATGGNATTTACAACCACAATGTTGCTGAGATATTTGCAAAACTCTGGACCGCAGGTGTCTATGGTGGGGAACGAACGCGCTATTATCCTTTCCGGGGAGTAACGCGTTCACCACCACACCATGCGGGTCCTTTGTTTCGCACGGGTGATTGCTGTGGCAAAAAGATCGATAGAAATAGCTGAGAGACGTGCGAAACAAAGGACCCGCATGGTGTGGTGGTGAACGCGTTACTCCCCGGAAAGGATAATAGCGCGTTCGTTCCCCACCATAGACACCTGCGGTCCAGAGTTTTGCAAATATCTCAGCAACATTGTGGTTGTATTTCGCTTAGTAACCTTCCATGAAAATTATAGAAGGCAGAAAACAAAACGTTAAAAATACATTTATTTAAAATTTTTGATCTTTGAAGAATGAGGTTGTAAGTTGGACAAATTGTGTTTAAAATATATTAGATATGAAGAGTGTTAGACATATACAAGGTAAGTTATATGTAAAGAGTGATAAATAGGAGGTACTGCGATAATGCACATTGATGAATAGCTAGTTGGCTCACAGATGATCGTTTTGGCCACTACTACACAAGTATATCACAGTTTTAGACCATTCCGCCTGAGCCACCGTATTTCGGGGCTGGCCTAACGGGTTACGCGCAATTTTCCGTCGGCTGTAGACTGTGATTTTTTTTTTTGACAACAACAGAACTTCTTAACTCTTTTATTTACTGCCTTTTTCTTCTTAATGGCAGGGTATCTTGTGAAATATAACTCGTATGAAGTGCTGAGATATCTGCAAAACTCCGGACCACAGGTGTATGCAGTGGAGAACGAACACGCGCTGTTGTCCTTACCGGGGAGCAGCGCACTTCACCACTACACCATCCGGGTCTACACCAGTAAGTTATATGTAAAGAGTGATAAATAGGAGGTACTGCGATAATGCACATTGATGAATAGCTACAGCCTACAGTCTACACCAGACCCGGATGGTGTAGTGGTGAAGTGCGCTGCTCCCCGGTAAGGACAACAGCGCGTGTTCGTTCTCCACTGCATACACCTGTGGTCCGGAGTTTTGCAGATATCTCAGCACTTCATACGAACAGAACTTCTCTCAATAAATAAAGGACTTGAGAGGTCTTGAACGTGACGGAATTCTAGAAGAGACTTTACAGACTCTCTTTAGAAGAACCAGTCCCTCATTTGCGAAATGAACTTGTCCAAAAAGGAGTGGTCTTGAAATTATTAATTAACAAAGTCGTAAAAGGACACTGCCATGTCGACGCCAGCCAAAGTATCTACGTTGGATAAAGTAATGGGTGATTATAAGAAGTGTGAAGAAACACTTCTATTTGTTGACATAAACCACCGAAAAGAAAATGACCCTTATGGAGGTCATACCGACAACTGTGAAATGATCCGTCGCGAGGGTGTTGATTACCGACCAGAGCCGTGGTAGTGGTGTCGATACATAAAAAGCACAGTGATGATTTGGCCCGAGGCTGGGGGTCACAAGGCCTCGCATCTTCTCAGTCTGGAAACTGGTATAAGACTTATTTGAGAGAAGTTCACTAACACTATTCCATGTGGGAAGGACCGGGAACAGTTGTCCAATCGTTGAAAGAAGAATCGAGCCGACCACCATTCGACGACATTCGTGGAGAGGGCAAGAAAAAATCCTAGGCAGCAGTCGAACCCGCGCATAAAAAAGTTCGGAGACCTTTATGGATGGTGGGTGAGAAAACGAATCGAATGTAAGAAGTGCGAGGGCCACACATTAAATATGACGACTAGTCATTGAAGAAACGTCTGGATTATGTATTACAGGTGAACATTTCTTATTGGAATATTATCACAATTTGTTGAGATTCTTGCTTGATCACGCAATTATCTCTGTGATAACACATAAAATGCCGAACGTATTATGTGGCGACTCCATTGTCTAGTTTCCTTGCAAACGACCCGGTATGGCTCATCATGCCTCTCAAAGAAGCAATGGAGGGGACTCGGAAGAGGTTACGCTTACATTTAAAGTGGTCTCTTTGAAATTGAACGACATAACCCCAATATTGAATTGTTTTCGTCCACTTGCAGTGTACCGGTTATGAATCCATGGAAATTGAAGGGTTAGTTGTTACAGATAAGCTTTCAATGTGTAGTAACCGCTGTGTACTTCAGAAGCACATTTCATCACAGTTTCATTGTTTCTTAGTTTTTTACGATAAACGGAGTTCTCTAGGGAGTTTTCCGAGTTATCGTCATATTATTCCGGCATAGCGGACTCATCTAGTGAAGTGTCGAGCAGTGAAATGAGCACATCAACTGGAACAAGCTATTCTTCATGTGATGTTGAAGAGACAACAGACTATGGTTTGTACCCATTTATTTATCTCGACATCACATGGTCATTGTGTGCGGATCCGAACACTCCCTGCATTCTATTCATTTCCTAGTATTCGCCATTCATTAAGGTCTTCGAACCCTTTTCAGTGTGAGTTCGACCGTTCAATGAGGATTTTGGTGATTGGTTAACTGGTGATATTTGCTGTCTCAGAGATCATCTGTTGATAATTCTAATAAGCTTACTCATATTCACAAGCAGTAGTATGGATCTCAAAACATTTGCTGTCTGACTGGTCTGTGACTAATTGGGCAGGAAGTTCTCCATGTAGTCACTAGGAACTCGTGTTCAAGAGTTCCAAGATAATCTCATCGCAAGCAATAGTCGTCATTATTGTTTGTGGTACGAGAGAAACATCTCCACTTTGCGACTAGATTTCTCCATTACGGCAGCGATTCTTTGGATTGGTTTACCTTTTCTGAGCTACGGAATGCGAATGTCGAACTCATATATTTGTGTTTCTAAACTTATGCTCAAATTAAAAGTTGTGTAATCATGTCCAACTTTCTCTTTACTCCCCACTGTTTTTTCTTACACAAGGCTATTTTGTGAAATAAAACCGCAGAGATATTTGCAAAATTTGGACTTCAGGCTAGATTCGAGCATCCGATTACCCTTTCGAGGGGCTCAATTTTTACCAAGTGCACCATTGAGGTCCCTGCTTTGTCTTTTCTCAACAATAATTATGTCATAAACGATAAAGCAGAAAACGTTCAGCGTTGATCAATTTCTGAAAGATATGCCAAACATTCATCTACACTCGTACCACCGCAGACGCAGACGGGTACTTATCGTGCCACATACTGTCTTTCGGTGGCCCATAGATGTATCAAATCAGTTGCTTTATCCTCTCTGACAATTCTGTTAATGTATCGACTCCAGAAAGGTAAAGGGTTTGGTTCATCTCCTTCAAGTTCCTTCTTCTATCTTGTCAGGTTAATCCCTATGTTTGATTTATACTCCCTCTACGAGTGTAGTGTCAAAATTTCGGTCCGACCCAGAAATTTCAAAGAATCAATAAACATATGTAGCTCTATTTCTTGTTGCAGATCCGCCTCAGTACACACACGTTTTTTATGAAGAACTCGTGCTAATTCTTTTCTTTTCTACTGTCATCTTTTAATTTTACTTAGAAACCGACGAAACAAGCGACATTTCTGCGTATTCCACTCATTCGTCCGATACTTCTTTTCAACTTTCGACGCTTATTGAGGATACGGATCGTCAGAAACTGGGTATCGTTCGGGTTCACTATGGTACAGTTTTTGTGAAGATTGAACCATAACTGGTTTAGAGGAATTCGTACGACTTCGTCCAGTTGATAAGGAATGGATTTGTGCTGCGTGGAACTACTTCGACAATGAACCCACATATCGTAGAATTTCTAAGGTTTTTTTTATTAACTCAATATGGAACCTTCTGCTTGGAAACATTAGGATCCCAGGAATCCTTTTTGACCATGGAATTTTCTCATAGGTTGCAAAAGTTGTTCGAAAAATACGTTGTAATCTAAGACCGAGAAATAACTGGACTGAACTTTACCGGGAGGTCAGTTTTCAGCATTTCTTTGAGCATTTCTGCTGCTGATTTTGCAGTAGCAGATAATTGTATTAGTGTTTTAACTTGGGTCAAAAGTAGTCAATCACCATCTTTAGTATCGTTTACGGCATCCACTGAGCACAGTGAGTATCCTGCCTATGGATAAATTGAAGCGATTGTCTCTTAACCCACGATGCTTACCATTACCGGATCTCACTGTCTAAGCAGAAGAAAGCAGATCGAAATAATATTGAGGAAATAAACATGCTTTAAGAAATTGTTTATGCATAGACGGAAAAAGATCGGCTCGTTTGAAGAGCTTTATGACCACGTTTCTTAATAGCCTACTTAAATACAGGTGAACAGTTGGTGACGATGTTGCTAAGACACCGTCTCTTACGCCATTGGTTATAGTGTTCTTTTGATGAGCAGTGTTCGTTTCCACTAGTAGCGAGCAATCACGGGCGAATTGCTGCTAATGATGGCATATCTACGTATAGAGAGGAAATACGCACATTTTTTTACTTCTCGAATAAGTTCAAATAACTTCGATTTGGTAAAAGACGAAATGTTTTGTCTTGATCAACCTCACAGTGATGCGCTATGCGTTCAATTCCATTCATTGCTTTTGATAGAAGTAATAGCAGCCGTATTTGAACCATGCAATGACTGATAAGTTAGTGCTGTGTCTTCCCAGACAAGTGCCATGTCAATTTACCGACCCCGGAGGGATACAGGGATTGGTTTATCCTCGAAGCGAAGTTGAAACACTGATCCTGTGTGTATCGAATGCCACTTCCTACCACTACGCAACACGCTTTTTGAATTTACTACTATATATGTACCTGAAAACATCTAGGCGAGATAATAGATAAAATTTATTTAGGTCGTAGATCTGAATAACATGTCACCGATGAATTGGCAATGATAGAAAAAGCAGTGCATAGCGGAAAACCATATAGGCATGATTAGAGTGAGATTAGAAAGAATGGCTGATGGTCGGTATTTGTAGTATGTCGTACTCCGTTCATACTTTGTCGCCACATGATGTTGTAGCATGAGATCATGAAAACTGTTACAATTGACCATATTGATCCGGTCATATACTGTGATCGGATGCGTGCGAAAAAACAAGTTCTACAAAGGTCGACATCAAACAAATGGTTTGCGAACAGCTTAAATGTGGCATTATCTTACGAGCGACAGGAATCGGCATGACGCTTTTACCGTTTTTCACGATCGCCTTTTAGTTTTTTTTACTCTAAAGGGGCTAAATATCGAACACAATGAGCGCCTACCATAGTACTTCCTATAGAAGCGTTTGCTCTCAAAAGTAGCAAGGCTGAACAAATAGGCGTTATGCATTAAAGCGTTGAAAGCATATGGATCGATTAGCGCTTTTTTAAATGATCCGCATAGAATATGGAAATATAAATTAGTTGAGACCTGGAGTGAAACAAAAGCTTACGAAACTTGACTCCCGTCTAGAAGTCAGACTGCCACACTATTACAGATGTTATGTAATAGCAAATTTAACTGCAATAATTAGAGCTCATAGAATTACAAACACCATGCTTTGAGGTGGAAGCGACACAATGTGGCAAACAAGCATTGATCGCATGGACGCGAAAATCAATAGCACATGAGAAGTGTACTGTCGCATACAAGCGCAGTGTCGAGGGAAACAAACTATAGACTACTATTAAAAGAATCCAGAGATTCACGGGGTCACAAAGAACAGTTGTCCGAGTCGAGCGACCGATGCTTAACCTGCCAAAGTTCTTATATTAAACAAATCCCTAAGCAATGGCAGCGAAGTATTTTCACCTAAAGTGTTCATAGAAAGAGAGTTTCATAAAGTAATAGCGAAGGTTTTGGTCAGATTCCTAGGAACCTTAGAACACAAAACCAAGAAGGAAAAACAAAAATGACAGGGTTGAGCTACCGGCTGAGAGAACAGGCAATGGCAGGGATAACGATATTAAGTTCCTTAGTGAATTCTTCGATTTTTTCGATAGGTGTGGTTATTAGTTACTCGGATATTCCAGTACTGTCGCTGAAATTAACTGGACACCTTTCTCATCTATTAAAAATATCAGTGTTTGAGACTTTGGCTTCCTTCGTCTCCTAACGCGCCATTCGTAGCAGCATACGACATCACAAAGCCCTCCAGAGAGGAAATTTAGAAAAAAGGCGCTAAAGCATTCAGCAGTGCTTGATATAGACGAGTTCTCCTTAATAAATAATAACTGCGTTTTAATAGCCTATTGTTGACATAAGTTCTACAGATGGTTATGATTCGATAAAATGAGCGACTTTACTCGAATATTCGACTACCACTAATTTTTTGAGGTGGAAATTCGTGCTTTGGTTTACTGGCTCTAAGTAGCTCTAAGATATGGCTGAAAATTACCGTAGATAATTTAAGATGTCTAGATCTGAGATGAAAGTGCGATTTAGCACGATGAACACATCGATAGTGAATGAGTGAAATTATGACGCAAGTCGTGAACTCGTACCCGTCTCGTTCTTCGTATTGTAAAACCTCAGTACAGTATTCCACAGACCGGCTGTCTAATAATCGTTGATTCTATCAGTTACTGTGGAACTCGTCCCATCGATGTTAATGGAAGAGCATGGAACGTGATGGTCTCAGACGAGTAGGAACGGATCCAATTCCGTGTGATTACGTCCACAATGACAGTTGTCGTCTCTGGAAATACGTGTCCAGATGCCATTACAGGATTTTGGCCCGATTAACTTCCAAAATCCTTGCTCTCCATCTTCCAGATCGGATGCACATCTGAATGCAAAACTTCACCAGTTCCTCAAATGTTACAAATAAAATGAGTTTTCAGCAATCGATATTTCGTATGAGATACTATAAGACAGGAAAATGGTAAAACATCGCTTTCTGAATAAAAGTCAGAACGAAATGGAAAACCAAAAAGGAACTAAAAAGTGCTAGTGAAATCCAGCCTACCTCCCATTATTTCTATGTAATGTGACTTCTGGTTGACATTCTGCACATATAGTGTTACCTCTATAAATAGACATAACTACCAAACAATTACAACCGATGCTGAGATGTTCATAAAACTTGGACATTGGCCCAGATCGCGCCACGATTTCACGATTTTTTTTTGCCGTGAAAAATTATAGTAGACAGAAAATAGAAGGTTAACATTGTGATTTCGACACAGGTTCAACTTAACTGGGTTCAATCCCAATTTGTGCTCCCAAGATCGATCCCGAAGGCGGGTGACTGCTGATGGCAGCGATAGGTAGGAAACTAGCTGAGAGAGATGCAAAGGGCCACCGTGGCGCAGTGTGTAATGCGCGAGCTCCCGGAAGCGGAATAGTGATTCGATCTGGCCAGAGGTTGAAGTTTTGCTAATATCACAGCATCGTTGTGGTTGTAATTCACATCATACCCTGCCGCAAAAAAAATTATAGTAGGCCGAATATATATCAAACAACTGTTTCCATAAAAAGTTTATTGAAAAAAACCCATTAAGATTAAACCGCAGCGCTTCTAAACAGCTTCCATTTTTGTGGGAAACGAAGAGGAACACAGTATAACTTACCTGTATAGTCGCATTGTGATCTGCTTATGCCAACAATTTCTATTCACCCATCCAATCTTGTACTTCACACAGTAGCTAAAAATTGCAGAAATGATTTGAAAAAAGATCAAAACCAAAAGAAAAGCAGATAAAAAATAGAAGGACCCTCGTTTTTAGTATTTTGGGCTCTTATAATGTATTACCTGTACTTGAGTAAACATAAGTGGCGAGATAGATTGACAACAATGTCTAGTCCTTTATTTCCTCTATACTTATGGCTCAAAAATTTCTAAGGGGTTGCAAAATATCTGTCGGCTTCCAAATTTTCGAAGTAAAGAGTGATCGAACGGAATAGACGAGCACACCTTGTCGTTTGTTTCAGCTTCTCGTACACCGAAGGCATATCCCAGTAGATGTTGTTGCGTGATTTTTTCGAACGAGTTTCGTTGTGGCGATAATCTAGCAGCAGTGCCACTGTCGTTATATCTGCAGATAAAAGTAAAGAAATAGCGAAGAAAAGTTATTAAATAAAAGAATATACAAATGTTCTTTTTAGTACAGTCTAGGCGGTAGGCTTCCTGATCCCATAATCCTGATACCAGAGTCGGTTCCTATTTGTTGAAAACACATAAACAAATTTTGGCTTTAACACTCTTAGGTTCTTCAACATTAAGTTAGGACTGCTATATTCTCGATCTGGAGGTTAACTCTATAGTGGTGTCATCGTCGAAATTACGGCCTTTGGAAAAAGTTTGAAGAACAGGATTTCAGCACCTATAGAATAGAATCGAATAGAATTCGATGAAAAAGATGAGAGGCTGTGTGCTGCGTAAATTGTTAATGAAGACTAAGAAGATCCATAAAACTCATATTTTCGTAACCCATCTACACCTTCCAGTCCACCAGTCGAAGGAAAAATACAATAATAAAACTGACCACGTCATGATATTTAAATCGAAGCTTTTGGAGAATAGATCTTGTGGTTCCTCTAAACACCTATTCGGAATTGAGCCATTTCTTGCAGAGTTCTTCATGCAAGAGAAAAAGAGAAAATTATAAGTTAGGAGAAGAAAGATAATCCAAGACCATTAGAAACCATGATGATTTCCACTTTGGTTAGGTTCTCAGAATAATATGTCATTGCTAACAAACGCTATCGATGTATATTCTCTTGGATCTCGAAAATGTGACAGATTTCGAAGCTCAGGACTTAGCATTCCAGCTGCATATTGAGTGTGCCGGTTATATTTCAGAAGATATCGCTCAAGCGCTCTGTGAGTAGTTCGAAGCGTTCCTGATGTAGATGAAGTATCAACCCACCTCTCTGCAGCATAACAGAGCGCTGGGAGGACCGTAGAACCAGAGAGATGAACGCGGATTTTCGGGTCCTTCAGTTGGTCGGTGGCTTCTTTGAGAGGCCCGAATGCGGCCCAAGCTGCTCGCCTTCTTCTATTTAGTTCCTCGTTCATGTTGTTTTCCATGTTCATTGGTCGCCCAAGGTAAACGTACGAGGTGGTCTCTGCAATGGGAGGGCCATCCAATTCAATTTTTTCGTCTTCGCATCATGGGTTTTTCATGAACTGGGTCCTCTTCCGATTTATGTGTGGTCCGATCTTTTCCCCCGCTTCATTGCATTCGTTGATCATCGTCTCTGCTTCGCTCGTACTTCTTGAGAAGATGACGATGGTGTTCGACCGGCGAAACGAAAGTTTGATAGGAATTTTCCATCAATACGTATGCCTTCATCCCAATCGAGTGACTTCATTATCCACTGCAGTGCGGCATTGAACGGCTTTGGCGATATTGTGCCGCCCCGTCGAACCCCTTTTTCTATGGGTATTGCAAGAGGTCGATGAAAAAGCTGCATTTTCGTAGTGCAGTTCCTATAACAGTCGGACAGAGTCCTTACGTAAGAGGGCTCCATTCCTTGGTCGACGAGCGCTGATAGGATTGCATTCGTTTCGACACTGTCAAACGCTTTCTCATAGTCGACAAAGGTTAGGACTAGAGGCAAATGGTATTCCCGACAAACTTCGATAACCCTGGACACGGTTTGGATGTGATCCATGCAGTAAAATCCTTTTCGAAATCCTGCTTGCTCGTTTGGTTGCGCCTCATCCAATGTCGTTGATATGCGCGAGAGGATAATCTTCGTGAAGAGCTTGTATAGTACACTTAACAAGCATATGGGACGATAGTTACGAAGATCTCTTCGGTCTCCTTTCTAGGGCAGGATGACCTTGCGCGACATCCTCCACTGATCTAGGTTTTTTCCTTTTGGTGGTAGGCTGTCACATGATTTGCGAGAAGTACATGTAAATTGTGGCCTCCAACTCTAACGAAATCGGCAGTGATATTATCTGGTCCTGGAGCTGTGCCTCTTTTCATGCTTTCTATCGCAACTCGAACCTTTGACGGAAGAATTCCAGGTGGCTTTTCTCCAGCGGGGATATTAGGGCCCGGGATGGGGATTGTGGAACAGAAAAGGTTGGTGTAGAGCGTTTCTGCTATTAATTCCATATCATGGCGAGCAGTGTTGGCGATCCCATCTTCGTTCATAAGGGCTGACGGCGGGACATTATAATCACACAAGTCCCGACGGCATTTTTTCAGACTGCTTCTTTACTCTGCTGCTTCCAGTATTTTCATCTGCTTGTACCGTTGTAGATCTTCCTGCAAAGCTCTTCGGTAGCTGGCACTTATTACTAGCCATTTTAAACGTGTTGCAGTAGGATCAAGCTTCAGTTTCTTTCTATTTTTGAGCAAATCCTTAGTAGTGATGGAGATGCGATCCTATCTTCTTGCTTGAGGAACTGAAGCTAACTCGACACAACTTTTCAATCCTTCGGCAAGCAGCTCGTAGTCTTCGCTCAAGTCTTCTTTAATCTACCAGTCACGTTTGGAGAGGGCTTCGTTCAGAATGTTCTCGTCGTATACAGCTAAACGTTTCCCTCGTGGTCGGTTAAGAGAGTTCTTTCCAGCTAGCAGCTGAATCGAATCTTCGCGCGAAGAAGGCGGTGATCGGAACCAGTACAGAATGACGAGACTACCGATGTGTCAAGTAGGCACCATCTTCTATTTGACAGGATATGGTCGATCTCCGCACGAGTCATGCCGTTGGGAGACTCCCATGTCCAGCGGCGGCTTTCTTTCTTCTGGAAGAACGAGTTCCCATGGAAGAGACGTGCTGCTGACAGGAGTCCTGCGGTTCCCATTCACATTTCTTTCTCCTAATCCAAAATTTCCAATCCTGTATTCGTTCTCATTAGCCTTTCCTATTCTGGCGTTGAAGTCTCCAACAACAAATTTATAATATGCTTTATCATTGCGGATGACTTCCTCCAACTGATAGTAGAACGCATTTAATTCGTTCTTATCAGCTACGTCGGTCGGTGAGTAGCAGTTGATGATAGTAATCTTCTTATGATGCGACATTTGAAGACGAAGGACGGCTAAGCAAGGGAAAAGGATCACGTATGAGTCGATGAGATGGACAATGGACGGGTGGATGACAAAGCGTGCGCCACCGACATTTCGTGACAGGACCTTTTCTCCACGGATCACAAGGGTCCCGTTGTTTAGTTGGCGTATGTCGGTTTTCTTGATTTTTGTTCCTTGTAATGTGATCGCATGAAATTTAATTCAATCTGCCGCTACAAGAAGCGCGTGAAGATCGGCGTCTGTGGAGAGTGTTCTGGCATTACACGTGCATAGTAAGAAACAATCTCCATGGCGTGTCGTGCGTGTGTTCGCCAGATCCGGTTCCAATGACATCCTGCGTAATCCGAGATTACCTGCCCTCTCACCGCCTGACATCATAGACGGGAGCACCCAGTGTGCGGGGTACTGAGGCTGGCCTATTGCTGGTCGTGCAACTTGGTCCTCCCTGGAGTCTAGACATAACCTTGCAAGGGCGTATCCAGGTCCTCACCACGATGTGGATCAGAGGGAGGTGTGTTTTCTGCGGCGAATCCTTCGCTCGGTCTCGAGTTAATACGCCAGCAAGAAATCGTAGGAGTCTTTACGAGCTGCCAAAATATGATAGAAAGCTCTGCAGAGAAGAGATGAAAGAAAGGAAGGATAGGAAAGGAATAGTAGTTAATCAAGCTGCTGAAGTTGGAAAAACAAATGCAGCACCAATCGAGACATTGTTAATTACGAAGATAAGTGTGGTATCTTCTTTGATATATTATTGAACGATTTTTTCACCCGATATCTGGGATATGATTTCGATACATGGAAATTATGCAGAAGTTAGTCCTTACGGGATTGGATCTTAAGATGTCGACATCAAGTTCGCGCGCTACCTCATCAAAAACTGTTGCACCTAACATAGTGAAGATAAGGGCCCTTCCATAACAAAACAAAAACATTTTTAACTTATTATTTACTGCCTACTCTTCTTAACGGCAGGGTATATATTGCGAAATATAATGATGCTGAGATATTTGCAAAACTCCGGACCGAAGGTGTTTACGGTGAGGAACAAACGCGCTATTGTCATTTCCGGGTAGTAACGCGTTCACCACCACATCATGCTGGTCCTTCGTTCCGCCTTTCTCTCAGGTAGTTCTATCGATCTTTTGCCATCAGCAATCACCCGTCGGCGGGATTGATCAAGAGAGCCCAAATCGGCAACGAACCCAGTTAAGCTGAGGCTTCAGTTATAATCACAATTTCAGCTTATTATTTACTGCCTACTCTTTTATTTATTCATTATTTACTAAGTGATTGCTGATGGCAAAAAATCGATGGAAGTATTTGAGAGAAAGGCGAACGAAGGACCAGCATGGTGTGGTGGTGAGCGCGTTACTCCCCGGAAAGTACAATAGCGCGTTCGTTCCCCATCACAGACACCTGCGGTCCGGAGCTTTGCAAATATCTCACAAAAACAATACATCGAAGCTCTGTGGACGTGAAAAAAGCGGCAAGAAAGAAAAAAAACCAAATTAACGTTGAAGTCAGTTAATAGTAGATCAAAGAAGAAGAATTAGCTTACTAAGTTTAATAATTTAGCAGTTCATTGTTTGTAGCACACTACAAGGTAAGCTATTTCACGCGCCGTACACGACAATAAACAAAAAAGCTGTCGGCGTTGAGCAGTCACTGAAAAGTACATCATGCATTCGACTTCAATAAACATCGTTAGAGGTGATTGAATGCATAACTGGCCTTTACAATGACTCGTGGTGGCCTACCAGTGCTGCTAACCTCCCAATCTGGTACTAATTTGCCGGCCCCCTAAGGATGGAAGGCTTGATGAGCCTTGGATGCGGGGATCGTGCGTGTTGCAGGGCACCTCCGACCACTGCGCCACACGCGCCCTACCGTATACGACAAATGGCTAAATTTACTACTGAAGGTTAGCTAACTTTTTATCACTGTTGGATCAATGACCTTAGTAACAATCACGGATTTGTGCCGTCAACGACTAAGCACTGTGTTGTTCATTACTTGCATATCACAACATTCATAAAAACCGTATTTCACAAATTCCTATGGAGATAACAATAACGCTTCTATTTCTAAACTATGATGGGTTCATAGGTAATTTTATACTTAATACTCTACACTTACCATCAAGTGATCGTCGTTTCGAGCACAACTTGAAGCAAGTGCGCATCTCTTTCAGTGGAGGACACGGAGTGCCACCGCGTGCGGATTGCTGGGTTACGTGACGAACTCGTTGTTCAACGCCGAGACCACAGATCCCATCATCAGCTACACACCCTTCCCATTCTCCCCAATTCGACACCACACATTCTTGAGCTAAAAATTGCAAAATTCTATCCAGAGTCTTAGATTAAGCTAGCATTTACATGGCAACTTTAATTTTTCCCTGCATAAAGCCAAACAACTTTAGGAGGTAGGTCGTCTCAGTGTGTCTCAGAACATGAATGACATCAATAAGCGTGGTGATCAACAAAATAGGTCTTTCTAAAATTTCCAACGATGTTAACTATTTATTTTCTGCTTATTATAATTTTTCACGGCAGTGCATGATGTGAAGTACAGCCACAATGACGATATTCGATCAAGAGATATTCGCAAAACTTGGACAATGGGCCAAATCGAATCCTTTGACGATTGCCCCTTCTGAAGGATTGTACCGCTGAGGCCGATTAGTGCTACTCAGATCAATCCCGCTGACGGGTGATTGCTGATGGCAGTGTTAGGTAGAAAACTAGCTGAGAAAAACCCAAAGCAAGCGCGTCAGTGGTGCAGTGTGTAACACGCAAACCCACGGAAAGGGTAGTCGCGTTTCGATCTGACCCGGGGTCCAAGTTTTGTGAATATCTCAGCATCGTTGTGGTTGTATTCTCAATGGTTTCAACACTTTGACTATTCCACTCCTAGGAGTAAAGTAAGCTGATGAGGTCTCTTCTGCGATTTGCGAAATACTGGTTCGGACCTCACGGCACCCATCAATAACTGGGGTGCTGTAGAGGAGTTCTCTCAAGGAAAATGAACTTTAAAGTGTTTTTAGTCTAGACCTCTTGCGATTAGTCTACAACCAAATCGGCATTCATTCTTAACGGCGAATCTACAGACAGAAATTAGGGATAAATCTGCGAGCTTCAAAAACAAACTCACTTTTATATCCGCTTTCTATTAAGAAGAAGGAAAAATAACTTACGTGGACAGACGACGGCGTAATCTGGACAGCAGTCACCTAAGGTAGTACAAGAGTCGTCACAGTAGCAGCTCGTTGGTGGTGCCTCCAAATACATGAACTGTGGACCTGAACAAGGCTCATCCTTTGCAGCAGTATTTTATATAACCATTCTATACTCAAGTATGCAAAAGGATACAGGGTAAACTGCGTAGCACGCCACAATCTCTTGGTAACGCGCCATGCATTCGATTCCATTCAAAGCACCCTACAGGTGATTGAATTTATATCTCCTATCCTTAAATAGCCTCTACAGTGACTAGTGGTGGTCGACCATGTATCACATCAGTGTTTTCATCCTCTCAAACAGGCCGCGTACCAGTTTTCCGACCACGGAAAGATGAAGAGCTTTGTTCACCTGGACGCGAGGTTGGACCAATAACCCTCTATCTATTTCAGGGCACCTCTAACCATAACGCTACATCTGCCCCATGCAACTGGATATGCCATTTTATTTAACTAAGTGATTTTGTTCGTATTTTTCAAAAAAAAAATACGAACAAAATCACTTGATCAATGCCGAGGTTAATAGAAAGTCGGTCGTGGCAGTAATTTAACTAAATTTGCATCTATATTTAAATTAATAAGAAGGCTAGGTGCCACCCATGACTACGTGCTCTTTAAAAAAGGAAGAAAGGTTTATAAACTAACAGTGTGGAACTTTTCGTAACCCTTGAATGAGCAAACTAACTAAGTAGCTCCCACGATCGACTTTCTATTAACCTCGGCAATGATTTAATAATTCTTTATATTTCTGTCTAGCAAACCCGAAGTGTTATTTTATTTTTTTATTTACGTACGAGCTGACGTTTCGCCGGATTTAGCCTTCATCAGAGCCTGGAAAGGTCAAGTTGACTGCAGTCTACTCGGCCAACTAGGTACTTCTTTCGAGTAGCTCAAGGAGAAAAGGCATTACAGCCGAGAAACGTCGCATTTATACTTTACTGTATCCAAATTAGGTCATAACTTCTTGACATTTGAATAACTAGCCCTACCTTCGCTATAAATGGGAGTGTGCTGGAAAATTTCATAAAAGTAACCAATATGCTTTTGCAAGATTTTCTCTTGGAGTCTTGGGAAGAGCAGGAGATGCCAGTGTGCCCAAGTTCATCACCAAGAGCATTCAAAGGCCTTTGTAGAAAAGAGAAGATATCCCACCTTTCGGCAAGCTATGTGCCATGGTAGCAGTGATTCTTGGTACCGATTTATGTTTAGGATTGTCAAACTTCATCAGAGTTTAGGAAACCATGGTAGGGTTTGGACACCTTTCTGTACATCGCAGCCCGTTCAGGAACATCCTCGCGAAAGAAATTCAACGAGCACCATTTTTTGTACCCAAAAAATTATTGCGAACTAAGTTAACAAATGCAAGAAGTTTAAAAAGTCTTTAAAAAGCTGGGAGATTGCGTCTTAAAGATGACCTTCATCATAGAAGCCGGATGTTGGTGTTGTCGACACCGTTAGTGGTAGATACTTATCGAGAACGGAATACCTAAAGTTGAACAACTGTAGTTATAATGATCTCAACAAGAAATTAACACCAATACAGCAAAAAATATTGATGAAATAGAAGGTGCATTTTAAAAATTGCGCAACTGCACCATAAAGAGCTGTTTCCTTATGACAGTATTTATCACATAAGCAAAAATAAGAACATGGGAATGAAGGAAAGACTATTAGAGAAAAAATGTTTTCGTATATATCTTCTTAGCTTTTCAAGTATCTAACGGTTTCATCCTTACAGGTGGTACTTAAAATTAATGCACTTGTAATGAAATATGGTGAGACCGTCCAAAGAATACAAGTGATCGTCTGATAAGATTGATCGCACTGCTGAAGGCCACAGATTCGATCCTATTACCGTAATCCATTATCAGTAATAACTGCTTGACTTGTAGCATAATCATAAGGATGCTAGCACATGCGCAAAACTCAGAGCCTCAGCTGGCCTTCGAATCTGCGATTACCTTTACCTGGACTCTCGTGCGCTTCACCACACCAACAGAGGCCATTGTTCTGCTTTTCCTGAGTCTTCATCATATTTCAACATCCATGTGGTTATAATTCAGATTTATCGTACCTTTCCAGGAAAAAAGAATAGTCAGCAAATAAGACTTAGGATCTCACCATTTGTCGCTTTTTTACTTTTACCTCGTTCATCTTTCTTAATGTTGATTAGTGACTGGTCATCGACTAAGATCCATGCACATAACCAAAATGAACGAACATTGTGGTACTAAGTGAAATTTTATTGAAAGCAACGCTACTGATTAGTTTTAACTACGTTTAAGGCAACAACAAAACACGTATGACCACCAAAAAAGTATCGCATTGTCGTAAATATTACTCAGAAAAAATCAATAATGATAAGAACTATGAAGTAAAAAGGCTACCGCATGCATTCTAGCAGTTTGGCTAATACGTGCGAACATGATTGTTATCGTGTACGATTTTCTTTTGTAACAGATCTCGGTGTAGTGAAAATAAGTGACGGGTCCCTGGACACCCAGACCAAATTGTGCTGTGCTTGGATTTTTTGGCGCGATTTTTAGACAAGAAGACGAAAAAAAACAAGCGATGACAATTTGTCACCCACCAACGTACGCACTACATCACACGCGCTTTTATAATCTAATGCTCCTTCGCTACGATAATCAATGCAAAACGCCAAACGGCCAATGTCCACGGACAACTGTTCCAAAATAATCGCATTTCTCGAACGGATGAAGGTATTAGTTATATCAGTATCACACACCACCTACGCGCTCAGGGCTCGATGAGTCGTTGAGTCTCGTGTCATTGGCTTCCTTAAGTCACATTCATTCCAACACATGAAGCGTTAATTATTGTTAAAGCGTACACACCGTAACCAGAGACGTTTCGGTCTCGACGTATACCGTAGTATATCCTCGGATGGTTCAGCCGGTGTGAGTGGGTAGCCGAAAAGCAGATGAGTGATCTGAGGGGCGACCGAGGACGGCGTCTTCTTCTTTTGACGACGGATCGTCTTCGGCACTTTATTCGCGTGTTTATCATCGGGACTCTCATCAATGAACGCTGAAAAAATAGTGAACCAGCTTAACCATGATAGTACTTTAACCAGTAATAAAGCTTAAGTGGCAAGGAACCAGGAACAAGTCTTTAAAAAGGCATTTTGATAATAGAAAACTATAGAGCAAACCCACCAATACTCATTTCGAAGCTTTATTCCTTAAAATCGTTTTAGAAATTCCAACCGTTTTACCAGTTATAATTCAAATTCTACTAGACGGGATATATTTCCTTCCCTCATTTCTAGTGCACAAATTCTAATGACGAAAAATGCGTGGACTGATTTTTTAAAAATATTCCTTAGCTTAAATTATTTTTATTGCAATCTCAAAACAACTGCAACCATTGTGGAACCCCGGATGTTGCCTAAGCAGGGCAACAATTTTACATAACGTTACAACGAAATAGCGATTGAAACTTGTGATTTTTCATTTGTTTTTCTAAACGGCCTGTCTTTCACATCTATTGTGCGGATTCCAACAGCTCCAACATTCGACTCGTTTCATCGTCCCCATCATCCATGAAAGTCTTACAACTTTTATGTGTGGCTCCGGCTGCTGGAATGGTGGTGGAGTTCATTCTCCCTGGAATTCTGGGATAGCCGGGTTACAGCGTTCACATTTGGATTATAGAAAGCAATCTTTTCCAGGATAAGGTCGGTACCAATTTCCCGACCTCGAAGGGTTGAGAAGCTTGGTGATCCCGGAGCGGGGTCGAACCGGCAACGTGATCGTAATGATCGGCTTGACTATACCTGGTCCTTAACTTGTGACTCAATCTACAACATTAATAAAATAGGGTCACATAAGTATTAAGGCACTTTGGCATGTATTTCGATGTTTCTTTGCTTAAAAAATTTTTTAGAATCCTAGAGAAGAGATACCATATTTATTGTAGATGTCCTCGGCACCGGATCCTTCAAGCTCAACGACATCCGGGAACACAATTTTCCCAATGCGTTGTTGATTGACCTCATCGAAGACCTGACAAGAATCGCGTTAATAACTGATGTCATGAAGAGACACACTAGCGTAACCCACGTCCGGATAGACGAGATCGTAGCCATCACCGGATGCTTCATAGAAGGGCGTCTGATAGGTGAAATACGACGATCCCTTTGATTTTCTATGATGGCTGGAAAGAATACGGTATCGAGACCACGAAGAATGACACAGTGAACAGCATTGACAGAATCGCTTCAAATTTAAGCAAAATAAGGGAATGTTTTAGAGAAAGGTGATAACCTTGGTAGTATAAAATAAAGAAAGTAAAGAATAACGGAAAAGAAAGAAACGCACTCTCGATGACGATGCTTTTGTTGGCGGTGAGGGTTGAGCAGCGGTAGTTGACTGGTTCCGTCGTCAAGGGCCTATAACGATTATCTGTTAGCATATTCAAATCCATTATTTAATCCAATACATTAAACAACATAAACAATAGTAAGACGTAAGAAAGTGAAATAGTTACATAGGCCTGTTAATCTAAAGGGCGGAGGTTCTCGAATTCTATTTCATGGCTCTTCAGCTTCAACCTAAAGCCATCAGACTTTACAAATTCTTGATCGCTGTCGTGGCTCTATTGCGCAGATTTTATGTCCTTCTTTCCAAAATCAAACTATGAGTCTGAGAAAACTCCAGCATGGCTTTTCGGACTCTAGGAGACGAAAATATTGCCCAGTGAGAAAAGATCCACATAGGAAATGCGCAGGGACACACAGGATCCCTGATGCTTCGTTATTCACGAAGACGTACCATTCAACGCGCAAGTAGTATTTGCTCTCAAATGGATGTTCTGCTCCATGATCTTCTATTTTCATGAACAAATTTCAATGCTCCATACGATGACCTACAGGAAGAGATCCATGTATAGCAGATCTTGGAACCGCCTTTCTGTTAACTTTGGCAGTGATGAATTCATAGTTTTCTTGATGAGCAGTTGTGAATTTGTCATTGAACCATTTACTCAGAAAAGCCGGCGTTTCTATGGTTTCATCTTCATCTCCGCCTGTATAATCGTCCACGTTATTCGCCTTTTTGTAAAAGCGTGTGGAAACGAGTACGTTGGCAAAACGGATAGAACGCTCCGCATTCATATAAAAGGGAACCTATTGGGAAACTTAGAGTGGAACAAAACTCTACACTAGAAACGCATAAGACAGGAAGATAAGACGGTGAAGATTTTGAAGCAAAGGTCACTATACTCGCACAGGAGTCCAAGTCATCATCGCGCCGAACTCTTGCAGAGTTTTGAATAAGTTCGAAAAAACCAAAAAATGAACCGCAATGAGGAGTGCCTTGCGATCGCCCGTGACCTCACGCCATACCTCAGGCCGATTTTCTAACCTGACCCAGGCATATTCGTCGCCCATGTGAAAGCCTGTGCTCCTGGTCTTCACCAAATAACTGGAAGATTTGCAGAAAACAAGACGCTGAGTGCTCCAAAGAAACAGCCTGCGAATGACAGCTTCGTTAGGTTTTGTCTGCTGAGGTTATGAAAGTGTTTGGCTGAATGGATTCCGTATCAATTTGATCCTTCCGGGCTCTGAAGAACACGAAACCGCCGAAGCATCAGCATCAGTGGATAAGTGCTGCAATAACAACCTCGTGTCTGCTCATCAAAGAAAACAAAGAATTATAGACCTGCGTGTGTTTTGATTGCGTTTCTTGTAATTCTTCTTCACACGATTCTTTTTCACATCTATTGCCTGTATCTTTTCACTTCCTGCATTCGATTCCTGTCATTGAATGCTCATCGGAATGAATTCTTTCTATTCGAAAGCAGAGTATAACAGTGATAGTGTTCCTGAGCATTATTGAGTTCCAGGAGCTTTCGAGACAAGCCCGGCACGGTTGGGTGTAGACGCAGGGTTATCAGAATTGGTTCACCTAGGGTGCAGTTTCAAACCAGAGCCACGGGAGTACTGAACCTCACTATTATCACTAGACTATTTTCCAACAAATTAAGAAAAACGAAAACAGGAAGCTCACCGTGCAGGTGATATTCCGTCCGTGACAGCACATTCGTTTCTGATAGCAGCCGGACTCAGCCGATGTGATGAAAGCGAGTGCGAGAAAGAATGTAATCATCAGGACATCTGGAATGAACTCACGTAGCACCGAATTGATTTTCATCTAATGCTCCAATGTGAAAAAATATAGCGGGTCGATCGAAAACACCTTAAGAAAGTCGCCAAAATAGAGATTCATGCGGAGCAAAACGGGAATCAGAAGAAACGTTCTAGGGAAAATTTATCTTTGTCTAAATAGTGCCCATCTCAAAATAGAGGAAAAGGGAGAATTTCCTAGGAAACATAGTAGGCTGAGAGAGAACGTGCACAGTCTGCATGAAAAACCATGCATAAAACGAATTTCTTTCACAATTCTTTACAGCTTGATGCGAAGTCAAGCTTTATTTACCAGATGTCATCTTCTTTTACGACAGGGTATTATGTCAGCTGCATCCAGAAGGACGCTGTGATACATGATTATCCTTTCCGGTGGCCCACTGGTTACACAATGTACCACCCAGGGTCTTGCTTTCCCTCTCTGTAAGCCAGTTTTCTACCCTAATGGTGCTATCAGCAATCATCCATATAAATTAATTGGACTCAATGCCTATTTGTGCTCCACAGATCACTTACGTTGACGGATGATTGCTGATAACAATGTTTGGGTAAGAAGCTGGCTGAGATAAAGGAAAAGCAAAGGCCTTGGTGTTTGCAGTAGATTTTTGAAACCACTGAAGCCATGTGGGGCAGATATGGGTAAAGGATAAGGCTCTCAGCGTTGATCAATCCATGAGGACTGCACCATGCATTCGACTTCATTAAGGATCGTCTGGAGGTGATTGAATGGATAACTGGCCTTTACAATACCTCGCGGTGGTCTAGTCATGTATCGAACCAGTGCTGCTATCCTTCCAGACAAGTCTGGTACCAATTTGCCGACCCCGGAGGGATAAAATGCTTGGTGGGCCACGGGCGCAGAGATCGATTCCACGCGTGTGTTGCAGGCCGCCTCTGGTTACTGCGTCACACTCGCCCTATAGGGCTGATATTGGAAATTAAACTCAATATATATGTTGGCAATTATGCTGTTTAGATGTAGTCGATTGGTCAACTAACCAACTACTTTTCTATGAATGAGTGGAAATACAATAATATTTTTGATAAAATAGCCACACAAGACAAAGCTTCAAATTAATGCCGATTCCGAATGCAAGAAGATTGTACTCAAAACAGCTGCAACTATTGAAAATAACTCTGAGTAAGTATAACGTCAAGAAATAAGCAATTGTCGTTGGATTTGAAAGAGGTACAATGCGATGAGGGTAATCCCAGTAAATGAGGCCTCTCTGGTTCGACTACCACATTCAAACCAGTGATTTCTTCCACCCAAGGGGTGCTTAGAAACCATTTGCTGCTATAAAAAATTTCTCCAAGGCTGAAAAAAAGCTATAAAGATCTTTAATGGTTGGGTTAATGTTACAAAAACGTCTTATTTTCAACGACCTAATGATCTCATGCATAAGTAAAACAGGTAAGCGGCAATGTTTCTCGGTTCATGGAACTCATGGATCACTACATTTCGACGTTCCTAAGAGTTTTTTGTAAAAACAAGTTAGTAGTCTGACAAGCGTTAACTGCATCAATATGAACATCTTTAAGCGCCTAATACACTAGATAAATCGTCTCAGCTATCCTTAATGAGGACGAATCCGACTTTTAAGGGAGTCGTGGACTTCATCTTCAAGCAAGAAATTCATGCCACAAGCAAGAAAACAGTAGAGATCCTGCTAGCATAAACGAAGAGCAAGCAGCTGCCGCACGTTTGTTTATTGCTTACTGTATGGATCGAGGCTTCATCTAGACGTAACGATGCAGCATATCTCAAAGGTAATGGCGATGAGGAGAAAACGTTCTGGTTCAGTTATTTCATGAAACTCGAAGAACCAACCGGTAATAAGGTGCAACAGCTTTAACACTAATGAATACCCCTCTTCTGAAATTGTAATTAAGCACTTGAAAACGCCGAACTTTATAGAACTTATTTCCAATGAAAAAAATTTCCCTTCACATGAGAGAAATTTGCTCTAAAAATCGCCGGTGATAAACTCCACGACTTTACTGAAATACCATACAATAGTTTTCTAACACAGTAATGCGTCTTATTGGTAATTTTATAAGAAATACTAATGGTGTATAGAATTTCTACTTTCATCACACTTATGAAAATAAATTGTACCGTAGACGTCGATATTGCGAGTGGTGTCAGATATGTGTTGGAGTAAATGGAAACGTTTAGCCGTATCTTTTAGTGATAATTTCCTCTCGAATTATCTAGCATTAAACAACAATGCCTCCCAACGGTTTAACACCTCTTCGCGGCTAGGAACTGGTCCTGGGTGTCGGGCTGCGATGTACAGCAAGAGGATTCGTCCCCACGCCACGGTCTCCCAAGCTGAGGAGGCCGGTGTTTGCATCAGGAAGGCGAACTAAGATTAAACCAGTACTGGGATCCACCACCATCTAGAATGAAACTAGTCGCGTTGTGGGGAATCTCCCTCTGATCCACAAGGCCAGCGACTACCTGAGGTGATGGAAGACCTGGGGGAGACTTTGGCCAGGCTGACCTTAGAACGCCAGCGAACCACAGTGGCTAGACCAGCAAAACTCGGAGAAAAAGGAAATTATGCTGGAGCCCGTACAACCAGTGAAGAAGATCCATGCAGGCAAATAACAGTGTAAAGTTCAACTCCTGTACTTTTGCTCTATCTAATTAAATCATAATAGAAATTGTAGCTTTTAAAAATTTTGAAAGTTAGCACTGGATATCGAAACAGCGATTTTAAAATTTCTGTTAAGAGGTCACACTCGATCGCAAGCAGAGCAAATGGGACAAAACTTAAATGAGCATGGCAACAAAGAAGTGTTAGCGAACAATATAACGCTGGTTTGGAAAGTCTTATCGTGGTGAATTAGTCAGTGATGATGAGGTCACGGACGATGAGGACAACTAATTGAAGGTTTCAGTAGAAATATACTCAACCAAAACCGCTCCCGGATTTGCAGAACTCGATGTAGGCATGTCAATTGTTAAGCAGCATCTAAAGAAGAAGCGGAAGTCAAAAATTTTGACAGATGCATGCCATCAAGTTGGTGCCATCAAGCACATTGCATTACCGACAGTGTAAACATTGGATGAGTGAGGCTACGAAACTCTGCCGAATTCGTCGTACTTGTCAGCGCTCTCGACCATCAACTACCGCTTCTTCAAGCATCTCGACATCTTCCTGGGCGGGAAAACCTTTAGGAACTAACTCAGCGACAAAACTATTCAGCATCTTCATAGCCTCCAGAATTCCTGGATTTTATAAAGTGAGATAAAAAATTTGATTCTTGTTGATAAAAATTTGGAAATTCTATGGGTTTTGTTTCGATTAAAGAAGCTTATTCCGAGCTGAGATTTGCCACTTCAAAGAATACAGGTGTGGAATTCTGCACTAATTTCCCAACAACCTAATATGACGGTTTGGTTTAGAGGAAGGCTAAGTAACATAGAATGGCATGTGTACATAAACAGAATTGTAGCGTTGTGTATCTGTCGAAGGGCTTTTATTGGTGTTGTCGGCCAGTTTGCCGAAGTTTTATAACCATTGCGTGGAATCTTCGTCGCTTCTATAAATCATACTAACCGTCAAGGAGCTCCCGATTACTACAAGAGGTTATTTTTGTTACAAACAATGTTTAAAAATCACAGTTTTAAAGACATTGTAATCATACAATGAGAGTTTGTTAAATAAACTTATGAAGTTCACAAATAAGGGCCGTAGAGGTGCTTGATGTTCATCTGCCTTGCAGAGTTTGGCCCTCGTTATCTCAATGGCCTGATGGCTTGTCGTCAAAAAGATTCACGCAGAGCCAGCATGTTTTCCTCTTCAATGATATACCGACGGACGCATGTCTCTATTTTGTGATTAAGCTTCCTCTTGAGGGTCAGGAAATGGTGGGGTCGAGGCATTTTTGAAAAAGTTGAACTCATTCTGTTTGAGTGACAATGCCAGTGGGAATGAAACCAATAGTTGTATATCAAAGTCCGGTTAGATTCCACATAGTAGAAAATTATAAAAACATCTACGGAGAAGTGAGCCGATAGAGACTTTGGTCTGCTCTCTCTCCTGAACGAAAATGATGAAAACTCATCATTATCCATGAGCAAATAAAATAAAAAGAGAGAACTGCTAAACACCATTTATAAAGCGTACGATACCTAAAATTTATAGATAAAAAGTAAAAGGAGCGTAATCCAGCATTTACAATGATGTCGAGATATTTGCAAGACTCCGAACCACAACCTTAGCTTCACTGGGTTCAATGCCGATTTGAGCTCCTTAGATCAACCCCTTGACGGATGATTGCTGATGGCAGTGATCGATAGGACTAGCTGAGAGATAGGCGAAACAAAGGATCTGCATGATCTGGTGGTGAACACGTTAGCCCCCGGAAAGGGTAATTGCGCGTTCGTTCCCCATCGCAGACACCTGCGGTCCGGAGTTTTGCAAATATCTCAGCAATATTGTGATTGTGTTTCGCATCATGTCCTGCCACAAAGAATTATTCCAACATTGTTTTAACTTTTATCCACTGTATTTTATTTTTTTACGGAAAGGGTATCACGTGAAATACGTCCATAATGATGATGAGGCATGGGCAAAACTCGGAGCCTCAGGCAAGCGTTGAACCCGCTATTACCCAGGACCTGATGTTCCGAGTTTTGCCCATATCTCAGAAACATTGTGGTTGTATTCCAATATTCTCTGCTTTCTTTTTTTTCGTTGCTAGTGCACACCGGTGTAGTGGGCAGTGGTTTGGACTTTCCTCACCAAGGAAGCCTCACATATTCGCAGGAAACGGCCATCAGCTAATAACCAGTGCCCTGCTCACAATAACGTGCTAGGCAGGCTATAGCCCTATACACTCTCCAAAAACAGTAGAAATGAAAAGAACTTCTTCAAATAGTGTGAGGTTTTTCCTATACCTGATGAAAGTGCTACAAGCCGTTCAATACTATTTTCTTTTTTCAAGTATGTGACTTTGCCTCTCTTTTTCACAATTGCTAAGGCGTTTGGGCATTGTAGGACATTTACACCTTAGTGGATAGAGGTGCCTCATATGGCCCTCCGTCCAAATCTTATTCCCTGCGTAGACCAGAGCTTCGGTCCATTCGGGGTTCGCAAATTGTTGTCACACTTGTATTCGAAGCTAAAAATACTGAGGATGAACCACTGCAAGTTATTCTATCGGTCAAATAAATGCATTTCATCCGTGGAGACCGATGTTACATATTCACTGGCAAATAAGTCATTAAATGAAGTGAAATAATTACATGACTACTGTATGAGCACATAAACGTATAAATTGCCAAATATTGTGTAGAGAGTCAATGAAGTAATAAGAAAGACGAGTAATTCAGTGAAAATAAAGTGGTATGACCATTGTTGAAAGAAAAGTGATAAGAAGTTGGAATAAACGATCGTATTCTCTAAACCCTACTATTATAGTAGCAAGTTACCGTTCATAAACGATCAACTCCCAAAATTTCCATAAACGGTCTACGAAGGATTGACTACTTTGGACGGTACCTACTTCTAAGTGGTTTATAATACTCACTGTCATTCACGTTCGACTCAGCACCAGGTCCACCAAGCTTCTATGTTTTCGAGATCGAGAATTTGGCTTCGGATTTGCTTAAATTAGTTTCATTCCGTCTATATTCCACATGAGAACGACTAAGCATAGTTGTCTCAGGATTCTGTAGTGAATCGACCCGACCAGCATTCAATGACATTCGTGACAGAGGCGAAAAAATCTCAAATTTCAACCAAAGCCGTATCTAAAAAAAGTGGAAGACCTCTGTAAATGGTGCATGGAAGGAAGCGAATCGAATGCAAGAAGTATTGCGGTCCACACCGCACATATGGTTGTTCATGTAGTAAATGAATAATAAGTTCATTTAATGGCGGAAAGAGATTAACGTTTCTATAGAAGTGCTACTCTTCAATGGCGTCAGGTTTTCTAGGCTGAACCAAAAGAAGCGCACCCGCAAGGCGGTAAACGCATGGTTCGATCCATGAGAGCCAGCCGACTGCCGCTGTAGCGACGACTTTGGAACGCTCTGGCATGGGCTTTTCGGGATTAGACGAAAAAAGACCACTTGCCTAACCAGTAGCATACCAATCGAATGGAACATATGCTGGAGACCAGTAAGATTAGTGGTGAACAAGAGGAAGGTTTCTATCAAATAGGTACATTTTTGACAGAGCCGGTGTCAGCTTTTCACTTTTTTTTCTAAATTCTCTTACTATCTTCCATGAATGAAAAGCAATAGTTCGAATAGCACCTCTCGTATAAGAGAACCTCAAATGATTCGATTATAAAGGTCATAATGTCACAACTAGATCAATAAGCACTATTAACACTATGGCTTATATCTATTCCACTTTCTTATTTGCTCATAATTATCTAGTTTAAAATTGGGAGACAAGCGAGACAATTTGTTTCCAAGTGGTTGTTTATATCGTTTGTCGTTCAAATTGTTATTATAAAAACTTTTTTATATCATGAAATAAGATTAGAGCTCTTTAATTGACTTGACAAGACGAAGGTGGCTTAAATTTGAAATGTCGCGCCAATCGCTGTCAGCTCACACCGGCCCATTAAACGGCTCAGCCGAACTCATCGGGTGTTAATGGACTGTGCGAGTTCAAATTTTCTCCTTCCCTCTCTCAGTGAATTAACTGAGATCTTGGAAATTGAAAACTACAGTAACTTTTGTGACGACCAATACCTTATGATTCCTCCCTTAAAGAATAGAGAAATGGGCATTGAGGAGAGCTAAACGTACGCGAAAATCGTTTGAAATAAGAATTTATTCAAAGTTGGGCACTGTAAATGCTCATTTTCCTTGCGAAAGAAACTATAATCGTAACTAGACAAAGCAAA